AAATAATGAAATATTTAAGAAAAAGTTTTACAGCAGCAATTATTTGTAGTCATTTACTTAATAAATAAACACACGTACAAGTATCATTCTATAAATACATAATACTATTACAATTCACGTTACATGAACTACGGTTGTAATTAAAGCCGTCCGGATAAACGTCATTCTTTATTGACTTTTGCATATTTCACTTATTTCACAAGTTCTTTTCTTTTTATCGTTGCCATAAACGGCAAATAAACAATATTATTGTAACAAACAAATCGGTTACATCACCTCTTATTTTGTATCAATTAACCTTAATTGCCTTTGTCATAATCACGAAGTGTTAAAAACATGTGTCGCCGACTGTCATTTATTTAGAGCATGTCGACTTGTCTTTTTGTGTTCGACCGAAAAGGTGTGATTTTCACTATATATCTGCCGAAGGGACCAGAGATCAGGTTCGAGAGTTCGAGCGATCGGTGTTCGGGCGATCCGAGGTAGAACAATATACATATATATTATATAGGAATTTTGCCGGGACTGGGCGATGAGGGTGTAAGAGTATATGACTGATGATTCCATTTTATGTTTGTGCTTGATGTATGAATTATTTGACGTACGTGCAGGATGGGATGTTCCCTTTTATTTAAACTGCTCTGACAATATTCCCTTTAAACGTTAATGTTAGATGTATGTTTTCCTTCTAGTATATTAGTATTTGTTGTATGTTTATCTTTCAAGTTTCTGCTCTACCTACGTACTTAACGCGTGTCTCCCTTCTGTATCATTCCATAACGTGTGTTTCCCTTCTTCCCAGTACTTTACGTATCTTTTAGTTCCATTTAAGTACTTAACATATGTTTCCCTTCTATATCAGTACTTAACAATATGTTTCTCTTCTATATCAGTACTTAACAATATGTTTCTCTTCTATATCAGTACTTAACAATATGTTTCTCTTCTATATCAAACTAAACGTGACTTTCTTTTCTATATCTGTCCCTTTTTTATTAGTGCTCACCGCGTGTTTCCATTTCATATCAGTACTAAGTGTAAGTTTAACTTTTATATCTTTTCTAAACGAATGTTTCGCTTCCCTTTTATTTCAGTGCGTATCGTGAATGTCCCTTCTATGTCAATATCATCGTAAAATATATAAATTCGAAGTCAATTCTAAACACGTGTTTGCCTTCTTTATAATGTTTGATATGGTTTTCCCTTCTTTTTCAGTTCTTAACATAATATTACATTGCTATTCTGTGTTTGATGTATAAGTCAGTTCTAATTTGTTCTTAGCTATGTTTCCCTTTCAGGTTGTTTATTTTTTCTTCTTTATAAGTACTTAACGTATTTTTCCTTTCTATATCAGAGGTGATCGTATTTATCCCTTCTATTTCAGCTATATAAGTGTTCATCTTTTTTCTCCCTTCTATTTTAGTGCTTGGCGAATGTTTCCCTTATTTATCACTGCTTGACGTATATTTCTGTTCCACATCAGTATTAAACATATATTTCCTTCCTATACCAATGATTGCCCCGTGCATTACTTTTTTATCTTTGCTTGAGGTATGTTTCTCTACTATAACACTAGTAAACGTATGTTTCCCTCTTATATCAGTTTTAATGTATGTTGATTTCTTTATATGTGTTTTACCTTTTTACATCAGTATTTTGCGTTTTTTTGTTCTTTCATTTTAGTACTTTCATTTCAGTACTTATGTTTGTTTACCTTCTGTATCAGTACATAACGTTGTTTTATTAGTGCTTGATGTATGTTTCCCTTGTGTTTACCTTCGATATCAGTGATTGATGTGTTTTCCTCTTCTTTATAAGAGCTTGTGGTGTATTTTCCTTCTTTATACAATGTATATATTTTTTAATTTCTTGTTATATCAATGCTTTGTAAGTTTTTCGTCTAGATCAGTAATCAAAGTATATTTCAGTTGCTGCATTGACAGAGTGGTTGACGCGTCGGACTAGTAATCTAATGATTGCTAGCCGCATAGGTTCAAACTCGCCAGGGGCAATTTGTTGTTTCATTGAGCAAGAAACTTTACACTCATTGCTCAGTACTGCTTGATTCAAGGAACTGATTCGAAAGTGAGCCTATATCATAATATGCCTACCGCTATCTACACAATCGAACTAAATAAATTCTGTATAAACCAAAAGTATATTTCAGATTTATATAAATTTGGTTCCTTACTTAGGTTTCTCTTTATATCATACATTGACAAATGATTCCCTTTTACCGGTACCTGCCATGTGTTGCCTTTCTATATCACACCTTAACGTATGTTTCCATTCTTTAACAATGCATAACGTATTTCCTTTCGATATTTTTTGTTTGCTTTCATTATACACCAGGAGTTTCCTATATAACCCCTCGTTATCAGTACTTAACGTACATTTTCCTTCTTTATCTGTGCCTGACATGTTTTCCTTCTTTATTATGTTCTAACGCATGTTTCCCTTTTTTACTCAATGGCGTGTTTTTGTTTTTATCAGTGTTTGACATATGTTTCTCCTCTGTATGCAACCTTTCTTTATCAGTGTCTGGCATGTGTTACCTTTTATTGTAAGAGCCTGCAATATGTATGATACCTTTCTTTAACGGTTTCGGGCTATGTTACCATTCTTTATCAGTGTTTGTGGTATGTTACCTTTTTATCATTGACTGGCATTTGTAAAGTTTTATTATAAGTGCCTGGCGTATGATACCTTTCTTTATCAGTGTCTGTTGTATGTTACCTTTCTTTATCAGTGTCTAGCGTACGATACCTTTCTTAATCGATGTCTGACATATGTTATCTTTCTTTATCGGTATCTGGCGTCTGATAACTTTCTGTATCAGTGACTAAGGTATGTAACCGTTCTATTGCGGTGTCTGGCGTATGTCAATTTTCTCTGTCGGTGTCTGACATATGTTACTGTTCTTTATCAATGCCTGATGTGTCTTACGTCTTATTATCGATGTCTTAAATATTTACCTTTCTTTATCAATGTCTGACGTATGTTTCCTCTCAATATCGGTGTCTGACGTATGTTATTTTTCTTCATCACTGTCTGGCGTATATTACCTTTATCGGTGTCGAGCTAATGTAATCTTTCTGTGCGGATGTCTGACGCATGTTGCCTATCTTTATCGGTGTCCCTATTAATCCCTGACGCATGTAACCTTTCTATATCGATGTCTAATTTATGTTACCTCTCTATAATGATGTCTTAGGTGTGTTGCCTTTCTTTATCGACGTCTGACATAAGTTACCTTTCTGTATCACTCTTTGACGCATGTTACCTTTTTATCGGTGTCTGACGTATGTTATTTTCTTAATCACTGGCTGATGTATCTTCACTTTCTTTATCGGTGTCGAGTTGGCGCGATAGCTCAGTTGGTTAGGTCACTAACTTCACTCCTGAGGTTTCGGGTTCGATCCTGAGTAACAACCTTGGGATTATTCAGAAACATTACCAGTGTTTCCCACCTACCTAGAGGTAAACTGGTACGAAACCCTGGTAAACTAGAGAAAATAAGAATCCCTTAAGAAAGCTCAACACGGCAAAATCGAAAATGTTGCAGGCTCGGTTTGATTGAGCCTGTTCATGGACGGTACTGTCAAGTGCAAACTACCGCCCACGCCCCTAGCACCGCCTTAAGCAGAATTCAACATTTAACAATAACTGGTACAATTTTGAATCATCCTTGCATGTATAAATGCTATACACTGGACATGTAAAAGAACCAAGGGATCGATTCAAAAAAGAGCTAGGGACTGGTTTCCGGATTCCATTGTATCTCATAGCTGTGTCTAGTGTCTGCTGATACCTTTCTTTCTTAGTGTCTGGGCGGATGTTACCTTTCTTTATCAGTGTCCATACTATTGTACCTTTATAGGTTACTGACGTAGATTACCACCCTTTATCAGTGTCTGGCGAATGTAACCTTGCGTATAAGTGACTTGCGTATGTTAACTTTCTTTATCATTGACTGACGTATGTTACCTTTTTTATTTGATGTTTTCATGTGTATTGAGTAATCATGCTTACAATGTTTGGTATATGTTTACGAGAAAAATGCTTTATGCATATTTCTTTGTAACGTGTTTTGGGTGTTTGATTCCATTGTTAGTGCAAGATATATATACTCAGCCAAAAAAGTACCCATCGTACATTTCCATCTAGGTTTTTAGAATCATTAAACATTCTGATTATTTCTTCTGTCTGTATTTAAGAATCATGTTTTCCTGACGTACTTTGATAGTTTGAAGTCACTTCGATAATTGTTTTATTGGAAAAAATCGAGTGATATCACAGAGATCAATTAAAAGAAATCACACTTAATTTTTGAGGACACAGCTGTATTTTATGACTGGTTTGAGTGTTACCAACCAACAAAAAGGCTGAAGATTCAAAAAGATGTGTCAGTATCGCATGTGTCCACCTTTCTGTGCAATGCACTTTGTAATACGGCGGCATAAGCTGTTGACGTTACGCTGTATAAATGGCCCAGGTTAATTGTCCCACTTAGTTTGTTAGGCCGCTTCCAGGTCATTTACATGTGAATTGCATGATTTCTTCGAACATGCCGCCCTAAATCGTCCCAAATGTGTTCAATGGAATCGCACGAGCATAACGACTTAAATGTCTTTTTTAAGGGGACGCATGATTCAATGCATGTAAAATTTGGTCAACAAATAAACCAAAGACTACTTGTACATCTTACATTATATACACAAATAGATTTGTGTTAACACGACAATATAAAAAGATCCATGTATTAAAAATTATAAAATGGGTCATTTTAATTTTGGCTGAGTATATATTTCCTCTCTTAATGAGCAATGCCTCCCGATATTGGTGCATTCTTAGACTGGATTTAAATTTTTAAGTCTGGACAGTCACTTTGATGTAATGGCGAGCGAAATGGCGACTTTTATGTTACCAATAACAAGGGTACTAGCAAGTTTAATAATTGTCTCAAATTACCATCTTAATTTGTAAAATGTTTTGTTCTGGTGGCAAGTTAAAGATTACTATAGATTTTTCATCTTTACTTCCTAGTTATCGAGACTAACCAATCTTAATTCGTTCTGTTATTCTGTCTACTGTACACTAATCAAAGGATTATATTATGTGCTAATAAGGTAAGTCTTATTTTCTTTATTCAATTTATCTGTGTCTAATTGAATAATAAACATTTCTCGACAAAAATATGGGATTTGATTACCAAAATACCGGGTATTATCAAAAATTAAGGAATAAGTAATTTTAGATATAATTCACATTTTGTAATATTTTTTATTCTTTTTTTATATTTCCATCTCCAATAAAGTTCAAACGAAAGTGCAATGACTAAATACTGTTGCATATTTTACGATAGTAGATAAAGGGCAATTAATTAGTAATATTCTATATTTTACGATATAACGAATGTGCAATTACTTAATAATGTTGTATAGTTTACGATGAAAGATAAACAACAAACAATGTAGTATAAAGTAGAAAGCGTTACTTTAAGATTTAATTAAGTGATTTAACACTATTTATTTCATTTTTTAAATTATGTTTTCGATTATTTTTAAAGAGATCTTCTCTAATGTATTGAGATAAGGGTTTGAGTGTTTTGTTGATTAGAGGTCGAGTAGTCATGTAATAAGGATTTATAAAATTAAAACATTGAAAAGTCAATCACCAGAGATATAAATGGATCGAAATGTCTTACTTGCCTTTGATTACATCATAGTGCATAGTTTCATTTCGAATTAAAACACATGACTTGGTATCTGCCTGCATAATATAGCCATTTAACAAGACATTGTTTGCCTGTTTTTGCATCGTATGTATTTGCAAGAAAGGTAGCTAAAATAATTTATAATAAAAAGTAAAATGTCAATTCTAAAAAAAAATAGTTAACATGACATTTATAAACAAGAAAGTATAAATTCAATTATAAACAAGATAGTATAATTGTCAAATTATAAACAAGAAAGTATAAATGTCAATTATGAACAAGAAAGTATAAATGTAAATTATAAACAAGAAAGTATAAGCGTCAATTATAAACAAGAAGAATAATTGTCAATTATATACAAACAAGTATACATGACAATTATAAACAAGATAGTATAATTGTCAATTATAAACAAGATAGTAGAAATGTCAATTATTAACAAGATAGTATAATTGTCAATTATAAACAAGATAGTATTTATGTCAATTATTAACAAGTAAGTATACATGGCAATTATAAACAAGATAGTATAAATGTCAATTATAAACAAGATAGTAAAAATATCAGTTATAAATAAGAAATTAAATATGTCAATTATGAACAAGATAGTATAGATTTCAATTATACACAAGAAAGTGTAAAGGCAAATTATAAACAAGATAATATAAATGTCAATTATAAACAAGTTAGTATTAATGTCAATTATTAACAAGATAGAATAAAGGTGAATTATAAACAAAATAGAATAAACGTTTATTATAAACAAGAAAGTATAAATGCATTTATAAACAAGACAAGATAGTATAGATATCAATTATAAACAAGAAAATATAAATGACATTTATTAACAAGATGGTATAAATGTTAATTTTAAACAAGATATTATAAATGTCTCACAGGATACCTTCATCGGTAAAATATTTTCCTTGTTTTTAAACATCAGGTACATAGACGATGTATTTGTATTCAATTGAAAAAATGATTGAATGTTAGTCTTTAGTGCTTAAATTGTTTAACGGTCATTAATATCAATATTTACATAGTGTCTAACTATTAAGTTTAAATCTAATTAGTTGACTTTTTGTCAAGTTGTCATTATCTTAGCGAGATCTATAATGTAGTATAATAACAATTTAATACGTTTTAAGTTCGACTGTACTTACTAACGCTAACCCTTGTGTTTATTAATCACATTCTAATGGTAAGGGTTAATGGAAAGTCTTATTCAATATGTTGACTAAAACAAGAGTAAAGAACAATAGCAACAGTAAACTAATATTGTAAATGAAGCGAATAACAACATTAGGATGATCAATACTGAAATTGTTAATGACAACACTGTTGTCGACCTGTGTTTCCCTGATAATATTTAATTTGCATTGAATTTTGGATAAAACACTACGAAATGTTATAATGGGATAAGCTGTTAAAACTTGTAGTTTCTACACTTATCTTTATTTCAACAAATTTTAAATCTGTCTCTGATTTTATTCATCTAAACAATGTTTTCCTTAGCTTACTTTAGAAATTGATTCTGTGGTAAGTTCATATGTTTTTTCTATTGCATTTTAACATGATTACAGATATTCGAGATATTTTGCCCTAACCTAACCATCCCCCTAAGTTTTGAAATAAAGTCCCCATCTAACATATGACAATGATATAACATATTAGTTAAACTTATGAGATACAAATCAAACACATTATTACATTAAATTACTGAATATCTAGATAATTATACCGATATTTCAAACAAACGTTATAAGCGATTCGTTTGTTTTACAAATATAGAGTTGGGTCATTTTAATTAAACACAGGTAAAGAATTAGCGTAAGTCTAAAAGTTATTCAATGTAAAGATGTATCGCAACTGGATTTAAGTCGGAGTTAAGTTAATACTGTTTTTATTTTCAGGTACAGAGACGAAATGCATTAATCATGAGAATAGTTCTTCAGCTGAGCTTATTTCTATGTCAACAGATAATATTTGACAGAATTGTTGGTAAAGTTTATCTATCCTTATAAATCTATACGAAACATATAACAATTTATCGATGTTTGTGATCTTGAGATAAATTAAGATATTTTTCTATCATTATTTTTATTCCACATTGCTTATTTTAGAAGGCAATACACTTGATGTGACTGAGGTAAGACTGGCAGAAGGGAGTGGCCTGTTTGAAGGTCGTGTGGAAATTAAAGTTGATGGAGTATGGGGTACTGTATGTGATGAAGATTTCGACTTCGATGACGCCAGCGTAATATGCAGAACAATAAACCCGCGGTAATATTTATTGTTCTAAATTAACCACCGGTGATATTAGACATGCTATATAAATCTCCAGTTGTATAATTGTTTCTAAATGTTTGAATGCGCATAAGTCTTAGAAAACCTTTTTAGAGAAAATAGAAAATAACTCTGTCATGTTTTAATATCGGATCACTTTTTTCCAGATATTTACTCCTAGGGGAGCGGTGGCCTAGTGGTTAAGGTGTCTGCCTCTCAACTCAGAGATCATGGGTTCGAGTCCTACGACCATGTTTTCTTCATATGACATAAGTACTGGTTGGTTCCAGGAAGCGGACTCGAAAGTGATTAATATAAGTTGCCAGAACTTGTTTCGCATTCAAGCTTAAACCAACAATATTTCTCGTCTTTTGAAGAAGTTATTACAAAGTGGAAGTCATATAATTACTTTCAAGAATCATTATGTCAACATATGTCATCATGTTATACCTCATAAAACATACATATTATACAACAAAAGAAGAATTTCTTTTCAGATTATCAGCAATACTTACAGAAAGATATTATGGTCCTGGGTATGGACCGGTATTTGTTCAGGAATTCAAGTGTAGCGGTTTTGAGACTCATATACGCCAATGTTCATACGAGAGCAATATATTTTGTACTCACTCAAAAGATGTCGGACTAATTTGTTCAGGTAAACATCGTACGTTCGTGTTTATTGTTGTCAAGTTTTTTTAGGTCACTTTCATCAAATATGTTTTAAAACTTGCAAAAAGGTTTTGGTAGTTAGAATAAAGATCATGGGAAATAATTTCTATGTGTCTAATGTGTCAAGCTATAGAATACATGAAGGCAGTAACAAGTTAAAAGGATATTCAGTTTTCATATGAATAAATAAACCGACTATAACATACGCATTATATTTTATGAATTTATAAAGGAACATTAATGAAGTATAGTATTGATATTATTTAACATCCTCTAGTTTCTTCTGAATGTTACACAATAACAGGACAGCATTAACACGTTACTCACTAAAATGATAGCTTTAACACGTTACACACTAAAATGATAGCTTTAACACGTTACACACTAAAATGATAGCTTCAACACGTTACTCACTAAAATGATAGCTTTAACACGTTACACACTAAAATGATAGCTTTAACACGTTACACACTAAATGAATAGCTTTAACACGTTACAAAGTAAAATGATAGCTTCAACACGTTACTCACTAAAAGGATAGCTTTAACACATTTCACACTAAAAGAATAGCTTTAACACGTGACACTAAAAGGATAGCTTTAATATGTTACACACTAAAAGGATAGTTTTAACACGTTACACACTAAAATGATAGCTTTAACACGTTTCACACTAAAGGGATAGCTTTAACACGTTACACACTAAAAGGATAGCTTTAACACGTTTCACACTAAAGGGATAGCTTTAACACGTTACACACTAAAAGGATAGTTTTAACACGTTACACACTAAATGAATAGCTTTAACACGTTACACACTAATAGGATAGCTTTAACATGTAACTTACTAAAAGGATAGCTTTAACACGTTTCACACTAAAATGATAGTTTAAACACGTTTCACACTAAAAGGATAGTTTTAACACGTTACACACTAAAAGGATAGCTTTAACACATTTAACACTAAAATGATAGCTTTAACACGTTTCACACTAAAAGGATAGCTTTAACACGTTTCACACTAAAGGGATAGCTTTAACACGTTACACACTAAAAGGATAGTTTTAACACGTTACACACTAAAAGGATAATTTTAACACGTGACTCACTAAAAGGATAGCTTTAACACGTTTCATACTTAAAGGATAGCTTTAACACGTTTCACACTAAAAGGATAGCTTTAACACGTTACTCACTAAAAGGATAGCTTTAACACGTTTCACACTAAAAGAATAGCTTTAACACGTTACACACTAAATGAATAGCTTTAACACGTTACACACTAAAATGATAGCTTCAACACGTTACTCACTAAAAGGATAGCTTTAACACGTTTCACACTAAAAGGATAGCTTTAACACGTTTCACACTGAAAGGATAGCTTTAACACGTTTCACACTAAAAGGATAGCTATAACACGTTACACACTAAAAGGATAGCTTTAACACGTTACACACTAAAAGGATAGTTTAACACGTTACTCACTAAAATGATAGCTTTAACACGTTTCATACTTAAAGGATATCTTTAACACGTTTCACACTAAAAGGATAGCTTTAACACGTTTTGCTCTAAAAGGATAACTTTAACACGTTACACACTAAAAGGATAGCTTTAACACGTTACACACTAAAAGGATATTTTAACACGTTACTCACTTAAAGGATAGCTTTAACACGTTTCATACTTAAAGGATAGCTTTAACACGTTTTCACATTAAAGGATAGCTTTAACACGTTTCACACTAAAAGGATAGCTTTAACACGTTTCACACTAAAAGGATAGTTTTAACACGTTACACACTTAAAGGATAGCTTTTACATTTTTAGACGATATACGATTAGTTTTGAATTTTGTTAATACATACATATAACATTTATAATGTAGAATGTGGCATTGTGAGTGTACAAAATGGCCAAGCTAGGTCAATATCAACAGATGGAGCAATAATAACAATAACATGTGACGAGGGATATCAGACTGACTCCAGTACGAGTATTTGTGTAAACGGGGCGTGGTCACCGTCTTCCATAACATGTTCACAATATGGTAAATTTAATAAAGTAAAGCTACATTTAGATTTCAAAATTATGTATCAATATCAATATTGCATTAAGTATGAAGTATTAATATTAATTATTATTAGTGCAAATATCTTTTCTAACTAGATTTAGTTACAAGCATACGTAATATAATATATTTTTCCATATTAATAATATCTAATGAAAACATATTTTTATTAAATCCTTGAAAATAAAGTCAAGTGCATGTGTATTTATTTAAATTTGTATTTCATTCAGACTTTCCATTAGACATAATTAGTACGAGGCTTGTAAATGGTGTCGGACTTGCTGATGGAAGAGTAGAAATTCTTGTAAATGACACCTGGGGAACACTGTGTGGTAAAAATATACACAAAGAAGCTGCAGATGTTATATGCCGTATGCAAGGATTCAGGTACGTGTGTCAGTAGGGTTAGCATATAAACTCAATCATTTTCCTTTTGAAAATGTGAACCCTAACATAATTTTGAGACTTTTGACCAGAGAAAAGTTATTCACAAAAATACGAATAATGACCCTTTGTGCATTTACCACTACCATCCATGATCTAGCTCCCCTTTTTCATTTTTTCAATCAAACCGAGTCTGCAACATTTTAAATTTGCCGTTTTGGGAGTTATTAAGGGACTCAGATTATTTCTGTATTTTGTATTATATACATGTATATATGTATATATATGCGTTATTCTTTAGTTAAAACGCTTTATTTTGAATACCCGCATACGTAATATAATATAATGTTTTCATGTTTATACTGACTTATAAAAAATAAATCCCTGCTGATAAAGTCAAGTACATGTATATTTGGTTTTATTTCGTATTTCATTCAGGTTTTCCATTAGACATAATTAGTACGGAACATTGAATGACTGAAATTGTACTCGAAAAGTATTCCAAATTTGGATTGATATACAACATACGGTTACGTTATTTCAACAATTTGTCTTTATTTACTACATGAAATACTTACTTCTAGCATGTTTCGGTTTAACCCAGTCTGCAACATTTTCAGTTTTACCATTTCGGAGTTTCTTTAGGGTTTCTATTTCAGTCTATTTAGTTTAGGTATGCATTTATTATCATTTTAATTTTGTTGCACTTACGTATATTTCAGTCGGAAACAAATTCACGGACATCAGATTTTCACTTTTGTCTGAAATGTTTGTTAATCAAAAGTTTTATAGTTATTTTTCAATACTTTAGATCTTTGTTTTATTTTACGCAAGGAATAGTTCCTGCTTAGTTCTTTCGTTGTTGAGGAAAATTACAGATATTAAGATATCACCATATATAAATAATCTATATAGAACATAATTACATTAAGAATTTATGAAAAGTGAAGTACTCCGGTACATGCAAACTGTCAAAGATTGGAACGATAATGAACATATATTTGAAACAAAATCACGTCTTTTAAACGGTACCATCTTAGTACATGCACAGGTCATTGTCTGGCGGCAATCTCGTAAATGATCATTCTACTGATTAAAGATGGCATGTCGAGTGAAAAAGTATACCACAGAACACTAGAATGATTTAACTATGTCATTTTAATTTCTAAATTTCTGCCCCACGACAAAAAAACTACACAATATCGCAACTCCTATCGCTTCGGCATAATTCGTGGGCCAAAATGAACCAATACTTTGAGATTATGTACAAATCATACATTTTACATATACTCATTTTATATTATCTTCGTATGCATAACAACAGTGCATTTTAAATTCATAAAAACACCTTACTTTCGGTTTCTCAGCGGCAGGGACTTCATCTATGCTATTGTATCTTCCTGCCACAGGTAACCTCTTTCTCATTTTTAAGCACCGAGTTAAATAAGTTATATTTTTTTGACTTTTTTATCTTTTTGCTCACAAAAAACCCAAATAATAGTTTTTATGGCATCTCTATGTTAGGCTTGACCAGGGTTAATAATAACTGTTTTTTTTTTCCCCTTTCTTTATTTTACGATGCACAGGATTATAATTACACTTTTAGGGAAGCTGGCCCGGTTTTACCTTTCAAATCAAATGTTTCGGGAACGGAACGTAAATCAAAACGCACTACATATTGCCCCTTTTGCACACATAACTACACCTTGAGTGTATTGAAGTTTCTTTTCATTTCAATTGGGTCATAACCCCAAATTCCCATTCAATAACTCCTGAAAAACATTGGCACATTGTAAGTTCATTTAAATTCTAATTTTATTTTTCTGCGCAATATAATCTAGAATAATTTTTGAACCTGTAAATTTTTTCCTTATGATGGCAAAAATAGATTAAATAATGATGAACAAAAAAAAAATTTATTTTTTTTTAAAAAAAAGCTTAGAGTGTGTGTGCGTTTTAATTATTTAAAATCTAATATATCTATGCAAATCATTAAGCAAACTAATAATTCTATATAATCTCTTTTTCAAAATATGAAATGGAATCAGTGATAAATTGAAGGCAAGCCATTTTTAGAAGACATACGCGACTTATTATGGAATGGCGTTGTCCGTCCGTCTTTTGGTTGCTTTCACCTCAGAATATGAAAGTTAGCCACTTTTTAAAAACATTTTTTAAGTAAAATAACTGGTTTCCGAAGAATAATTCAAAGGATTTATGTTAAAGTGTTTATATTTAATATGTAAGTATACTAGGACGAAAAAGAAACGCCGGGTACATAAAATATGCAACACATATTTTATTGCTTGGCCTAAAATAATGAAAATCGGTCAGATTTATGTGTTTTTCGCTGTCGAACGGTACACGAACGGTACACACGTTTAAAACTACACAATACCAAACCTCTTCGCAGCATGAGAGGCACGTGCTCCAGATTTGTCCCCAAGCTGAACATTTTTGGGGGAACTGGATAGGAGGGTAAGGAGACGTCCAAAACCCCCCCAAAAATGTCCCCTCGCACATGCCTTGCATGAAAATGGAATAACCCTCCCATCCATGATTAACACCCGCCCCAGCTGGCATGGAGGACACACAAGATAAATGCCGGCCGTGTTTCGCAAAAAAAAAGGTTCTCGTTAAAAAAGGGGTATTTTTTCCCTAATCACACGGAAATCGATGAAACTTTAAAAGCTGGTTCCATACCCATACATTTATAAAAAAAATAAATAATCAAAAACAATTTATCCCTAAAAAAAATATTTTTAAATTACCCCCGTTTTTTTTTTTTTCCCCGTAATATTCGACTTCAATTTCCGCTGCAATCAACGCATTATTGAAAGTTATATCCCGTTTATGCATTTTTACGAGAAAATACTGGTTTACGTAAAATAACTTTTCAAAGATTTGTGACCATGTTAATATTTGGCACGCAAATATGTTCTATCAAAACACAGGTCCACATCGATTTTCTAAGCAATCAACTCATTATTAAGGAGTTGTGCCCCTTTTTAATTTTGAGTGAAATTTTGGTTTCAGCAGAATACTTTTTGAACAATTTCAATGATTCTGTTTATATTTGGCATATAAATATGCAATATCAGACACAAGTTATGTTCGATTTTCATTGAAATCAACTCATTTTTGGAAGAGTCAATCCCTTCATAGAAAATTTTTGTTTGAAATGTTTGGTTAAAACGTGTTTATATCTCGCATGAAAATATGAAATATCAAAACACAAATCAAGTTTCACATAATTGCAACCCTGATTTAAAGATTTCTTTTTTGTTCAATATGTAATCAAGTCATTATGTTTTAGTACTTTCTATAATTAATACGTTAACTTATTACCTTTTTTACATTTCATGAGTCATTTATAACAATAAATTTGCTATCTTTAAGTGGGAATTTCTTTCATATACCTTTAAAATTTTTAGTATATGCACCGCCCAATGAGCTTTTGTTTTTTTTTGGGAAGGGCACTTTTTTAAACATTCGGATATACGGCTTCGATTTTTTAACTTTTAAAATGTCCTGTTAATTTAAATAAAACCCTTTTGGGAAATATTTTTAACAAAACCTTAATTTTTAGGATTTTCAGAAGACGGGAGCTAATCTTAAAAACACCATTTTTTTTGTAAATATAAAATATGTTTTTCGCCCTCGGCTTTATTTTAGCAATCACGGAAAAACCATATGCAAATAATTTTTTTAAAAAAGTCTAAATTATTTAATATTGACAATTCACTGACTACATCAAAAACTTATTCCTCTACCACTTTATAAATTTTAAAAAAACCCATTTTTTTACTGAAATGCTAATAAATTTAAAAACACTGTTTAACAACACATTTTCTACATAAGCTAACGTATACAAAACCCTTTCAATATAATTAACAATGCCAGGTAAGATTACGGACCCAATGAACAAGCATTTAAACGACATATTGAAATCTACATATAATGCCCTCAAGGGAAAATTACCCCTTTCGTTCTTTTTTAAAAAGAAAACCCCGCCGATAAAGCCCGGGGTTAAATTGTATACGCTGTTTTTTAAATTTTTTACCTTTTGAGATTTGACAGGCAAAAAAAGGGAGGGGGCATACAGCAAATAAACTGATTCCCGCATAACTGTTTAACATATTTTTCAATATGAAAAACAAAACAATAAGTAAGGGCGCTTCAATTACGTTCTCTACTAAATTCACAGTGCTCAACTGAAATTTTTAAATGACATGTATCATAAAAGAAAAAATAGACTTTTCACCAATTACAATATTTTTTAGAAACATAGCCACCTTTTGATTAAAATTTTAACTTCAAATATACTTTTTGCTTAAAACTGTTAACGAAAATATCCACGTAAAAAAGAGCACCAAAAAACAAACAGCCCAACCAAACCCCAAATTTCATTCCCAAAAATCAAAAAATTTTTAAATTAATAAAAAAGTAAACTTCAAAAAAGTACAAATCAATTGCTCAGTCAGAAAACTTGAGAAAGAGTGATCAATTTGTCACATGACCACATAAATTGGTTTAAAAAACAAACGGAAACTGTTCGCAAGCAATTTGAATGAGATATAAACGCAGTGTAAAATGTTTTGTTAAAGGAATAATGTTTAAACAGAACTAAATATCTCAGGAATTTAAACTAGAGGGTTATAAAATTATCTATTATTATTTTCTTTTAGAACTACTATTTACATTTTATATTGGCAAGGAGGATGCTATACAGCTAGCTAATGGAACGTCGGTGGTTCTATTCAGTTACCCGTTTGTGTCTGATTTACTGCACGGAAGAGCACCATAAGTCTTCAACTACCAGTAAAGCTGGAACGTCGCCATATGACCTATAAAGTGTCGATGTGACGTAAAACCAAACCACACAAACAAACAAGCTCTATTTGCAAGAAATATGTACTTTACATTTTATTTTAGAACTATCCATAAGATTTTATTTTAGAATAGGAAAGTATCCTTTACATGTTATTTTAGTATGGCCAATGAGATTCCCAGATTTCAGTTTTTAATTTCGAAATGGCCAATGAAAATTCTTCTTATATTCACTTCTTCCATGTAAATTTTATAGACAGTCACACTATCTTTAGATGGCCTTTTGTATAAAATAAAAACATACTAAAAATGGATATCTTTAACTCTCGAAAGAAGGCGAGGGTCGTTTCGGGTAATCACAACACTAGTTAAACGATACATTAAGAGCCGTAATCTTTAAATGGATAGACATATTGACTTAGACGTTCCCTTTATTACTATGCTTAAAGTTGGTTTTACAGTGTCATTCCAAAGTATTTATAAATTAAAGACATACAAAAAGATAAATTGATACAAGGATTTGTAAATTGACATTTCATTACAGTTACACACATCAGTTTGCAACCCCTTTCTATGAACAACGAGATTATCCTATTCTGATAGGTGTGCTTGGTTGTAGGGGCGACGAAACTACATTGAATAAATGCTTATATACTCCTCCAAGTAAAAACCATTGCAATCATGATCATGACCTTACGTTAGTGTGCACTGGTAAGAAAGTTTACAAAATATCTCCTCATTTTTTAAAATTTCGAATCATCTAATTTATATCAAGTAAGTATTATTTTATTATTATTGTGTGTATGTAATTAAGTAATTGATTTCAGTAAATCACAGTTTTGTTTCTTTTTTATTAAAATATCTTTTAAATGATTTTTTGTTTGGTTATTTTAAAGTTGTGGCGAGTAGATGATGCATTTTGGGGTTTTTTTAATTTCAAACCCCAAAAAGGGGCCCCAAATAATTACGTGAAATGTTAAACCCAGGTTACAACCTGGCCCCATATTTCAAGCAATGTTTAAATAAGGAACATGGGTTCAACAGCAATTTTGCTCCTTTTAATTTCGGGGAAAAACTTGTATTTTATTTCCAAATTTTTTTTGATTAATGCCAAAAATTTTCAAAAAAAAATTTTTGGTTTTTTTTTTTCTCCCGTCTTTTAAAAATGTTATTAATATAAGATTTTCACCCCCTTTATAACCTTTTCCCCAAATTATAAAAAAGCTTTTAAGATTATTTCTAGCTTTAGAATCTCCTGAAAAAAAACTTATTATCAAATTATAGTTTAGAATAAATTCCCCGGACAAAATTTAAATTCCTTTGGGAAAAGTTATAAAATTTTATATGTTTTATTTTTCATTGTGAGAAATAAACCCTTGGGGAAAAAGCAATTTTCAAAGTTAAAAATTTAAGAATTTAAACCCGGTTTAATTTTATTTATGTTATAGTTGGAATTAAATTCCCTTGGGGTAAAATTAAAATTTTTGCAATATTCGTTTCAGAACCCTTTACATATAAGTGATATTCGTTTTTAAAAAGAAAATAGAACACCCAAATATTTCCCCCGAGGGATTTTAGAAAAATTTCAGGGTTTAAAGGCCATGGGGTGCAATTTTTAAAAACAATAGAATGCTTTTTCTGCAAAAAATGATATGTCAAATTTTTGGGTTGAGTAAATGTTATTTATTAATCTAAATTTTCTGTAAATGGGGTCAAATTTTAAATTTTTTCTGCCAGTTTAAATTTTGAAAAGGGTTATTTTGGGAAAGGAAAAGTTTGTAAATTACGATTTAAAAGGGAAAAAAAATTTTAAAAGTACCGTATATATTTTGTTTTATTTATATTTTTTCAGTTTTGATTTCCCTTTTTTTTATTTTAGAATTAAAAGTATTTATACGCAAAATATCACAAATGGACAAAGCAGTGGACCAATATTAATAGAGAATTTGAATTGCACAGGAACAGAAACTCATATTAATGAATGTACTTACGATCTTGGAAACTCATGTACACACACGGATGACCTGGCTGTAGAATGTACAGGTACAATACCATAAATTATTAAACTGCGGTTGTATTGAAATAATTGAATGTCTGACTAAATATATGCAATATGAATGGTATGATACACATTATGTTGTACAGAAATATCACAAGAAACAAACTATATTTGCAGGTTACCAGCTTATTATAACAGATATACGCCTAGCAGGGACATCAGGACCATATCATGGGCGTGTTGAAATTAAAGTGAACGAAACATGGGGAACGGTTGGGGATAATTTCTTTAGAACTCCTGAAGCACAAGTTGTTTGTCGTATGCTTGGATTAGAGTAAGATTTAACATTTTAATACTCCACATAAAATAAGGCAATTTAAATCAAAGTGTAAAATATTTGAATATTGCTCCTAATCTGAAAGGCGCATTGGACATCAGTATGAGACAAAGAAAGAGCGGTGACATTTACTTCATAAAACATATATATATATATAATTTTCAAGATCTATTTCAAACTGCATTATGTCTTTGATGAAAAATATTTAAAACTGTCTTCATGTCTAGGCTAGGGACTTTATTTTGTAAGCTCTAGAAAATGAAATTTTATCGGAAAAGATATGCTTAGTCTGTCTTTTATCAATATGACTCTATAGAAAAATGTTCTTATATAATAATGTATAAATTATATTATATCAACTGTATTGTGCCTTACAGATATAGATCCTACCATTTGAATGCGTATTATGGGCAAGGCTCTGGACCGGTACTTATTGACCGCCTGAACTGTGATCCTTCAGCATCTCACATTAATGAATGTAGATACTCAGTAAATAACTATTACAATACACAACATAATGACGATGTTTCCGTTACTTGTTGGGGTATGTCACGAAAACACTTTATAACTATAAGTGATAATTGTTACAACTAACTGTCTAACAATAACTAACTCTAACCCTAACTTTGTAACTATAAGTGATAATTCTTACAAGTTACTGTCTAACTACAAGTGGTTATTCTTACAAGTTACTATAACTAAAAGTGGTAATTCTTACAACTTACTTTTTGTTATACTTTCCACGCTCATTATACAACCTTAAAAGCATTCAGTTATACACCATGAACATTTGCAAAATAAATATATATTTATTCAAACCATATCACTATTTTAGAAAGAATATTATTGTTAAATAATATCACTTCCTTTTTTATAAAGATTATAATTATTAAAACCTTTTCATTTACCATTCTTTAAAGAATATAGTTAACAAAACCATGAACCTTAACATTTGTATAAAGAATATTTGTATAATAACCAAATTCTTTAACATTTGTATTTTAAGTATTTTAAGAAACAACGATAACATGTAAATGTCATGGTAATTGATGTTTCTATGTAAGTTGTTTCGTATAATTATACAGGACCCTCACTAAGCATAACGGAAGCAAGACTTGTAAATGGAACTGGTAAACATGACGGTCGTGTTGAAATAAAAGTAAATGGTACTTGGGGGACAATATGTGACAGAAATTTTGACATCTATAGTGCTGACTTGATTTGTAACATGTTTGGATTAAGGTAACAACGTTTTAAAATAATAAAAAATAGACACTATTTAAACTTAACACTTCTTTTTTAGTATTTCTTAAAAATGTGTAATGATAAAAAGAGAATGCTTTTCAACTTTAGAAGATTCTGGGGTGAAAGGTATTAAATAATTAATATCTTCTAAAATCGTTTTAGCATATGTATCAAAATGTATGACATCTTAAACAAATTGATTGACCATTTTGCATGGTTTGTAGACAAATTTGCTTTTTTATACAAAATGTTGCTTATTAAATCACTTTTCGGGCATTTGAGTAATGATCCCTGTTTTAATTATGTGTATGTGAGTGGCGCATATTAGGTTTTGCACACCCCAGTGTTCTCTGTATGTTAGAAATGAATTATTAAGTTATCACAGATCATGATACAAAAGGACTTTGTCAGTTTTTATTTACAGTGATATAATTCCGCGCATCCGAACTCGAAACATTGATTTTTTTCAACGATAAAATCTATGTTGGGGATATATTATTTCAAAAATATTTAATGGCGAAAAAAAACAAACTAATCAGACAATTAAGTTAACACTGGTAAAATGTCATTAAGATCTTTTACGTCACTCATCAAATTATAAAGGCAAAGTGTTTCTTTGATTTACACAAATTTATTCTAGCATATGAATTGAAAAGTTTGATTTCTAACCGTATTTAAAGGTTAAAAATTTGTTTGACAAAGTCCCACGAAAAATGTATCAAAACATTCGTTAGATGTACGTTTGTTTTGCTTTGAAGTGGGATACATTTACAACAATTTAAGACAACCCTTTTTATGTCTGACATGCGTTGTCTTCTGAGACGTTTTTTGTTGGATTTGACGTTGCACCAACACATAAGAGGTCAAATGGCGACTTTCTTTCCAGCATTACAGGTGGAGGAAGACCTCAGGTGCCCTCCGTACATTTACTACAGTGAACTACCTTTGTCCGGTACCGATTTTTTGTCCTTCATTTTACCTTTGAAATACGTCTTTTGAATACTCGGACCATATCATGGAGTTTTTTTACAATCAAAAGTGTTTCATTTAGCATCTTTTCTCTTTCATTTACCCTTATAACAAAACGTATACTATTTATACAAAATCAGAATAAATTATTTCCAGAGCAGTCCAATATTTTACTAGAGCATTGTATGGAGAAGGTACTGGTCCAATATATATAGATGAGTTATATTGTGATGAGAGTGACGAAGATTTAAGCACCTGTATGTATCTATACTTCAACGAGTGCACACATGACAGAGACGTGTCTGTTGTCTGTAATGGTGTGTTTTTTTTTTCTTCTTGTTTTATGCATGCTTTTATTATTCTTTGACATATTATTATTTAAACCTATTTTTGAATGCAAAAAGGCAAACTACTTTTCATGAATTTCAGTATAAGTAATCAATATAAATGTTTCAACAGTGTGATGCAGTTGAGTGTTTGATCCTCTGTTTTTTGCAGTAAAAACATGAATATACGATTTATAAGATGTTAATAAAATGTAACATCCTTGAATTACAGAATGTGGCCAACCTGGCAGTAATAACTATTGGGACGTTGGCTCTTATAATTATCAGAGATCAATTTTGTATATTGATTGTACATACTACAGGACATATGTTGGTATATTCCAACTGAGGTGTGATAATAATACACAAACCTGGATAAAGGAGGGAGAATGTCAGGAATATAGTATGCAGTTTTTTTATTAATAATCAAAAGCTAAATCATGCAAGTATGATTTATTTACAATAGTTATTTTTAATAATTTAGGTTTTAAATGTTATACTTATGTATCAGTATTGTTTAGCCTTCCCGCCTTTCTTAAAAGTGAAAGCATGGGATTAGTAATTCAATGTCTCTGGATAGATTTTAGGCGATGCAAAATTTCAAAACTTCCGTAAGAACAACTGGTAATTAGGAAATCCGGTAAGGCTAATCGATTGTCGAGATATAACTAAATTATGTGTTAAAAGTGGCGTAAAATCAACATACAAACATAATCTTTTTATTCATAATTCAACTTCGAAGACTAAAATGGCTATAATTATTATGTAAATAAGTTTTCTTTACCAATTAAATAGGTTTCCCATTAAATATTACCGACGTACGACTGGTTGATGGAACAAGTATAACATCTGGGAGGGTTGAGATAAAAAGTTTAGACACATGGGGGACTGTATGCGGCAACAGTTTCGGAGTGGCAGAAGCAAATGTTATATGTCACATGATAGGCTACCCGTATGTTGATGATATAGATAAAATGACATTCATTTCGATTCTCAGATATAAGTTCTTATATTAACTCACATATTATGTTTAATAAATAAAAACGCACTTTTAGAAATTTTATTGCAATTATCAGTGTGAGAGAAATTGTTCAGTTTTTATTAGCAACTCAGTTTTTTAAGCAATCAGGGGTGATATCTTTTCTCTATTTACGTCATTCCATAACTGCCGAGGTATAATATTACACTATTTTATTATATATAGATACGCAGTTGAATTCTACATCTCAGCATATCACGGTGAGGGTACAGGTCCAATATTTGTTGACGAATTGAGCTGTGGAGAAAATGGAACTCATATAAACAACTGTACCTATATTACATATGACGACTGCACGCATGAAAACGACGTATCTGTAGTCTGCTTAGGTATATAGTTATTGTTAATTATTTTCTTGTTCATATGGCATTTAGTTGCCTTAAATGAGGTAAATCATTAACTTTAAGGTGACAACGGAGTAAATTATCACTAAAAAAACCTAAAATGAGATTTTTTGCTAAGTAGATCTATTAACCTTTTCTGAATACATTCGTGATTTAATTTTGGAAGCAGGTAGTCCAGAAACTATGTTTTTAAACGTTTTAAAACGATACCATTTTTATCCGCTATGCGCGTAACCTGTCAATTATCGATAACGCGCCGCCCCTATTGAGGCATCATTGAGGGAAATCGGTAGTTCCATATATCCGTGAATTACCGGTTTATCTGATATTTTCGATATTACTCGTAATACATGCATCATGAAAATACTGTACATCAATTATGAATATTTCAACATTGTATCATCTACCATTTAAGTAGACATTTTATAAGTTAAGAAATTGTCGGCCAAGATGTAACAAATAATTTAGCATAGCGGTAAATCGAACGACCATGGGGATGGTTAAAACAATGTAGCTGCCTTTATCCGTAATGTGTGAAATTTATTTGTCACGTAAGTAATCTGATAGACATTATATTGAGTTTATGAACTTAAGTTCGGATTCAAGAGCTTGCTTTGCATGCAACCTCATTTTTTCTAACAATATCAAAAGAAACAGACAACACTTTTATGTGAACGCCTATATATGACAGGTGGTCGAGTGTCCCTAACAAATTTCTAAAATATTTTTACGATAGTCTTCGGATGATTAATTATTTATGAATCAATGAAAAAGATATGAAAATATATTTTCAGTGAACGGTTTGAATATATTGTTCACTAGTAAATCGAACACAATTTATTGTATGTCTCAGAAGAAACAGAATCTATGTATGCCGTGCATGAATAAAATTCGGAATAATAAAAGTCAAGAACGTCAGATCATATTGATCGAAAAATACCTTTTATTTCTATTAAATCATGTCAAGCATTTCTATGAACTGATCGGACAAAAATATATAATATCTCGTTCTTATTTGTACAACGTACCATGCACGGACTTTAAAAGTCTGGCAGGAGCAAAGTTTTGCGTTATTTTAATTTATATTTTAACGGAATTACATACACGAATACACAGGCAGAGTTACAGTGATGTAATATTATAATAATTATGATGATGGTGCTAGATAATAATTATAACATCAAAAGTGAAACAATATGATTACCCGATAGCAGTACGAACGTTAAATGCGTTTCATTTTATCCCACTGAGTGCCTCAAATTTTACCGATAGTCACGTGACATGTGCGACAGGTACCAGACGGACAGTAAATCGCGTTTAGATTTGAAGAAATTCTGCTATAAAATGATATTTATCAGCTGCTTTTAATTGGTCAGATGTCACTGGGTCATAAAAGTTATTAGAGTATGTGTTACCGCATCGTGCCACCCCATTTGGTGTGATATTTGCGTGTTATACAATAATTTAACGGAAACGTTTTTGAGAAAAGATAGAAAACATCTGAGACACGGTTCCTCAGATATTATAATTATGTTTATATTCCAAGTGTTTGATGACAAAAAAATTAAAAAATAACTTTGATATAACGATTTAAAATTATATAAATTTTATCAAAATCAATAATTTACAAAGGCATTTTTTAAAAATATGATATTTTTATGAAGATCAAAGACATTTAATGCACAAAATTTAAATAAATAACAATCAATACTGAAATAAAGTGGTTTAAATGACATTTTTACTAGTACCACGGAAAGTGTCTGTTGTCGCCTTAATTCTGATTTTGTTTTCAGAATGTGAAAACGTAACAATAACAAATGGATTTATGACGGCTACTGATTACAATGCTGTGATAAAAATTGAGTGTGACAGTTCCTTTAAACTGATTGGTGACTCTGTCATTACTTGTCAGTTAAATGGCCTCTGGAGTGACATACCTACATGCTCACCCATTGGTATGATTTACAATTTATCTTAGTTTTGGTAACAATTTGCCTCAATTTCATGATCAGGTATTGCTGGTGAATATGGCAGGTGTAACTGTTATATAGATACTAGTAATGTAAATGTTATATATATAATGTGATCAAGTAAATTAACAAATGTAGTCAAACTTTAAAAGACAGAAGTTCTTTTATACTAGAGGGGTGGTCAACCAATGAATCAGCTGTCAGGAAAATGAAACATGGACACATCTAACGATATGTCGAATCGAAATTATTTGTCATTTTTATAGAAATACCAGGTTTAGATAACAATGGAAATTAATTTTCTATAAATAGGGATATACCAGTTTTAGACGTATCATAGTGTTATTCATTTTTTATGCCCCCTTTTCCTGATTTATCTAAGTTTATGCCTTTCTTTCAGATATATTATCAGTCATATTTTTACGTATTAAACGATCGAATAATACAATAAATTTTGGTGTTTGAACATGCAGTTTCCTAAATTTGTTTATTTGTTAAGAACATATGTTTAATAGATTGTGGATATCCTGTTGTGCCATATGCTGACGTCATTATTTCAAATAACAGAACAACTTTCGGGGAAACTATCATCGTAAATTGTTGGCCCGGATATAAGATCAATGGAAATTCAAGTATAGATTGCGGTTTAAGTGGACAATGGGAAAATATGTCTACTTGTTCTCCTGTAGGTATGTATGCTTTGGAATATATAACATGTATTCTATTTTAATTATCTACGTTTTTCAACATTTAGATTTGTTGTGATAGGATTATTGTTACATTAACGAATATCAAAGCATTTTTAAATGATATTCGAATATGTACTATGAAAGGTATTACCCTTCGAATGTTAGTGGTGGTGAGAAACCTCATAATACTGTCTATTAAGACTATCATCGATTAAGTGTCTGCTAAAGAAAATGCCATTCCTTGCTTCAGTGCCTAATTTAAAAGTCAAATGTATTAATTGGCGGAAGGGTAAGATGTACAAAACATTAACATCATAATCGCCCAACTCGGCAAAATTGGCAATTCTACAGACTCAATTTCAATTTTATGAAACGTGTTCAAAGACCTTAGTGGCACATACAAAATACCATCTTTATTCTGAAATGTTTAAACAGATTTTGCCATTTTTTCAATCAATTACCTGTCAAGTCATACGATCTTCTATTGCTATTTAATTTTTACAAATTTGTGTTTATTTCTATTTTTGATTGTTATATGACAGATTTTTTATTTTTTTATTTTCATATTGCTAAGATTGTGGAAACATATCAGCCCCAATTAACGGCAATGTAAATGACTTTCAAGGCACACAATTCAACGCGATGATACGTTTCAGTTGCAATGCAGGATATTTGCTTGTTGGTGCCGAAAATACTAAATGTGAAGAAAATGGGACATGGACAAATGAATCTCCTATATGTGTTATTAAATGTATATTCAATGGCTAAATATGAGATAAAAAATCTTAAAATAGTTACTCAAATGCTTCAATTAGTCAATATATTATTATTTTAATGAATTAAGAGCATTTCAGTTAATATTAGTGTGTTTTCTAGTGATTGTTGAACATCATATTTTTAGTAAAGAGTGTGTTGAAAAAGAATGATAAAACGGTACCGCCTCTAATTGAGTGAATGATTTATCAAAATAATTTTGATATACAATCAAAGTCAATAATTTGGCACAACTGAATGTTCTCTTTCATATTTGTATGCAGCTGGAATAGGTGGCTCATGTATAAACCATGAGTATTGTTTACTGGAGGGTTCTCAATGTGTCAACAATGTGTGTACATGCAGCACTGGAATCTATGATAAACTTGGCAATAAATGTGATACAAGTATGTATAATTAAATTAAATCAGTTTTCGATTCTTAAAACTGTTGTTGAAAACATAGCTTGTATTATCGCGAAAACTTCATATTAAATTTCATGACATTATTGCCATGAGTCTTATCATTTTTATACTAGTAACAATGTCTGTCAATCAAATTGAATTTCAGTGCCGCTGATGCCATTTGGAGCAGATGAAGGTGACTATGTTATACCTGACTCATCAACTTGCGGACCAAAAATAGAATTTCAGCCTGGATTTCCAATTAGAAACAAACTGCATACAAAACTGTTTGTAAGTGTTTATATTGATTTATATTACATTAAATGTTACAGACACAAACGGTTTATACTTATACCCTGTATACACTGTATGTTTAACCTGTTTCGTTTTCCTAAATTTTCTTACTACCAAAGAATATATATATATATTAGAAGAAAGCATTACAAAAAAGTATGTAACATTGTATAGATCTGCTTGTGTTTTCATGTAAAAGTTTGTTTAGTCTTTAATTACAAATTCAAGCATTATGCCATATTTCAGGTTTGTCGCTTTGGTTATATTAGTTTCGACAAAGTCTTTGAAAACCCAACACCTCCGAAGAGCGCTTTGTCAATCGACCAAGATGAAATGTTACTCGCGCCATTTTACGGGCCAATAGACAAACGGAAATCGGGACCAGTTACCTATAAAACATACGACATTTTAAATTCATACAATGAGATGAAAGAAAAAAAGGAACTAATTTCAACAATTGAAATGTTTGTCAAAAGATTTGGAAACCTGGATTGGTTTCATGCCAGCTTTATTTTGATAGCAACCTGGAACAAAACCGTTACAATAATACCGGGATTCGACAGTACAAAGGTATGTATTCAATTTATTACACTATTTCTTTTCCGTGTAATCCAATTACTACAAATCTAAATACCATTTTACATTGCTCTTTTTAAATATTAGTGTTGAATGTAAGGTAAATTTTCAATTCTTATTTCTTTACAGACATCAACATTTCAAATTATCTTAGTTTCGGACGGAAAGTTTACATTCTCTTTTTTTATCTACGGAAACGGTATGATGAATTGGAAATATAATCTATCAATGGCTCCACCTGTTTGGATTGGCAGTTCGTTACAATCTCTGACATACACACAGCCGTATGCGTTCACAAACAAGGCATTGCAGTTAGACATAATGTCGTCTGTAACTGTTGAGGATACAGGTAAATTGAAGTTGACTAATAATGTGTTGTTCATTCAAAATATCATAACATGGATATCAATATTTGTTTAGAATAAACATAGATAAAATATATCTGAATTTCAATCTTAATTTATGTAAGCATTGCTTATAAAGGTTTCAATTTTGCCATTTCTCTCTATTTTATTTCATTTCTTGTGTCTCAAATGTATGTTACACAACAACAAAAAATATATTTATCTCAATTTGACTTTAGAGGTTTCAGGATTAGTGTTCAGAGAATTAAATACAGCAGATACAGCATATATAAACTCTGGTGTTGATTGCATCAGGTGGTATAACGAGAACTATGAAGATAAGAAACATATTAATTATATGGCAAACCTAATGCCTGAATGTCCATGTGACATAACATTATCTCGATATGATCCATGGTTTTGGAGAATAGGTCTTTACAGATGGCGCTACGATTTGACTCATAAATGTGTTGATATGCTTCTTATTGGAAATGATTGGCAACATGGAAAGGTAAAGATAAATAAAATCCATATGAATTTCTGTTTCCTTAATGGAACTCTATTGAGGTCAAATACACTAAAATAATACATTTTGAAATTCTACCTTAAATCAACTGTTACATTTGAATTTGAAACCAATCACTAGATGATATATAAATATACACGCTATCAAATTGATAATCGATTTTTATGCGAAGTTTGGCCGATATGAGTGAAACTCGTTTAAACGGTTTTCATTTATTGGGCCAATTTGCACAATGAAATTGATTGTTTCTGGGAAAAGGAGTGAGTGAATGATCTGAAATTTTCTAGATGAGTTCTTGGTCTAGACATACATTTAGCTATATAAAAAAAAATCTTGAAAAAATATTTTCGGTACCTCCACGTCATAAAAACCTCAATGGAGTCCCTTTAAATTCCCTTTCATGGGTACCTTTCTGAAGATGTTTATTCGTCAAAACATCGAAGTGCATATGAAAAAGTGCATTCACGCGATCTTTACAATCTTATTTATGTAGGTCTTTGATGTGGAAAGAATAAAATATTTTTGTATTGTATGTTTTTTAAAAACAAACAAGTAATTTATAATAAACATCATTGTCATTTGATATACCTTGTAGCATTTTACATTATGATTAGGATATTTGCGTACCTTAAACAGGCTGTCTTACAGAGCGCCATTAATAAGAACATATTTATATTTTAGACTTGTTGTTATGACATAAGATCTGGGCTCCTGATAAATGAACGGCCACTTGCAGGCAGTTTTCAGCTGTACAATCGAAATTATCCAAATGAACACTTTAAAAATGATATTGAGCCGAAAGAAAAATGTTGTGCTTCGTCGAAATATTGCAGCCTTTACTATGAATTAAGACCAACCGGAAGTTGTTACAGAAAATCGCCGTACAGTTTTGGTAAATTGATTTATTGATTTTTTTTATATCATTTTTTTTTAGATTTAAATAATCACCATACAATAATTCTAATAACGATCACAGTCATGTCAAAGCATTGATGCCTAATGTTATCTAAAACATTTCAGGGTCTTTTTGGGGAGTCTCTCACTTTAGTACCCTCGATGGATTGAATTATACATTCAATGGTCTTGGAGAATATACACTTCTTAGAATAAGGACTGGAAATTGTTCATTTGATCTTCAAGCTAGAAAAGAAAGGGCTGTGAAATCTAACGACAACTTTTCTCATGCTAGTATGTTTACAGCGTTTGCCGCAAAAGACAAAAGCTCGTCCGTGCATGTTGAGCGTAATCGAGAACACACTGGTAATCCTTAAATCGTCGATTTGATTTCTTTAAGTACCTGACAAGTCAAAGATTTTTTTAAAAACATTCTAACATTCTATATATTTGCATTTATGTCACATATACAAATGTATTACACACTTGTATGCATGTTCATCTAAGGATTTTGACAAGTACGCTTAAATAGAATTATCATACATGCCATATGTGTCATAAAAATAGCCTGTATGATACTTTATATCAGTTTTTTATTAAATTTATTTAAGTTCGAGTGTGTATGACGCTTTAACCTTATTGACACACTTTCGAATTTCTTCCTGGAACAAACCGGTACTTTGCAATGATTGTAAAGCTTCTAGCTGAAAGAGACAACGGCTTAACCCTGACTCTATTTTTTAAAAACGTTTTATCATTATATAATTAAAATTTGAACATATTAGCCAAATCTTGCAGAATGAAGACATATTGTAAAATACTATGAAGAAATGGGAAGGAACCGTAATCATACTTTTTGTTTTCTGCAGGTTTGAATATATATGGAAATGATGTAGATCTTACAAAGCAGTACAACGATAATACAGATGAAATGGAACCCTTTATTTGGTCATCAACTGATTACCTTTTAACAGTCTCCAAACATAATGAAAGTGTAAACGCATATTTTTCTTCGTGTGGTAAGAAACTTGTTTCTCTTCTTAAAAAGCTGAACTATAATAAAATAATTTCGTTTGTAGAGAATATAAAAGTAAAGGTAAGGAATTTATGTTTTTGTATTGTTAAGCGTCATTTTGATGAAGCCTTCAGTCACGTTTGAGATGACAGTTACCGTGTGACTGTTCCTGGATTCAATTTCAATAATTAAAAATTCTAGGAAACGACTCACATTATTTGTTTTTATTTGCTAATAAATGTTTATTGGAAGAACCTTCCTCGCTGAGAAAGTTCTAGAGACGGTCTTACAATGTCGATATTTATAAAATCTGGTAACAATCCTTAGTTATTAAATCAAATGAAGTGGCTTTTCATTAAAATCATTAAAAATTACCTTATAAACAAAACCTGCAAGGCAAGGTAAAGTTCATAGAACGTATGTAACACTACACAAGACGTACATATGAAGGATCATTTATGTAGAGAAGTCACAAGCAAATCCACTTGAGGATTAAAAACCGGTTCATTTCACTCTTAATCTGAATATGTTCCTTTTTGACGAAATCAGTAATTCAAATGAGTTCCTAAAAAGTGAAATTCTAACAATTGTCATGATTTAAGAAGACAAAATAACTAAAACACACAAATGATATAATTATAGGTTCAGAAACAAAATGATCATCACTAGATATATATGCTAGAAATAGTTGTTATAGAATCTTTTAATTAAACTTTTTATTCACTTTTTACAGATATATCACTATCAATATCACTTACCACAGAGATGCTTATACTTCAAACATTTGTCCAAAGCAGCTTTAAAAATCTAACACAAGGACTTCTCGGCAACTACAACGACGATTCAAGTGATGATTTTATTACGCCAAATGGATCGGTCCATATGTCAAACCTTACCGAACAAGAAATATTCGAATACGGACAAACATGTTAATATTAATTCAATTTATTCATTTTTAATTTTTTTTATTTGATTACTATGCAGTCATTGGTCGAATATTATGACATTATTCATTAACAAGAATGTTCTGGCATGATGTTTAAAGATATACTATGCTCATCTTTGGGTAAAATACTTTTATTGCAGAAATTTATTAAAATCTAATTCATTCTTCCTGAATATGTCTAATGCATAAAATATGTTAGGGAAGCTGCATTCCCTGCTACTTGTCAAGTAAATTTTGTCTATTCTTATAAAAATTGCCAGTTTTTTAAATGACAATGTAATCGGACTGTAATAACCTGTTGTGTATAGAGTTAGAAACGTTACTTGTTTTCTTTGTGTGTTCAAAAGATGTTGATTTTACATTTAAAACAGTTAAAAGTTTTTCCAAATGTCAAAATTTGCGCAAAGCATATATTTAATGTTTCACAACTTTTAGTATTCTGAACTAACTTGAGTGATTTGAATTTTAAAAGAACTTAAACAAAACATATACATGTAGTTAGTGCTTTGGCAATCTAAGTAATAGATAACCCGAGTATTAAACGGAATATAATAAATTCGGTTTCTTTATCGCTGCAAGAAAAGGTGTTACTTGAATGTGGTAAATCTGAATGTTTTAAAATGAAAATAAAGTGAATGTAAGACAATGTACCTATAAAACATATGTTATTCTTAATTAAACAAACAGATATACCTGATAACTTTCAACGTTATATTCTTCTTATAGGGGCGATAGATCCTAGTAACTCTGCCTTTAAATACGATGCTGGAAAGAACCATTTTGACTTTCATAATGATTCGTACGTGCCGAGATTTTTAGATGACATAGACGAACACTTAAAGGAAAAGGCATTAGAAGTATGTGATAGCTCAACAAATATAGAGTGTATTTTTGATTTTGCCTTCACTGAAAATGCAAAGATAGCAAAAGAAAATAACAGGATCAAAGAAAAATTGAACGAGGACAAAATGGAAATTGGCAAACATTATGTTAGCAATTATCTATATCAAAATATGTATTTAGTAGTTAATAATACAGACAAATTTAAAGTGCATAGGGTTCTTCATAAGTATTTCATAAAAGTCAAACGGCACAACATGAAAATAATATATAATACTAGAGACGCACGATATGACTTTCAAAATTGAAGATATAACTATACTTTCATGAAATTAAACTTGTTGGATTGCTCTTGAAATGTAAAGAAGTTGTTCTTTGTAAGTGCCTTAATGTTTACAAGATTGATTCATGCATAATTAAAGATAAGCAAAACAGACACAATTAAAACATGTCTGCAAGGTTCACCTTTTTAACATCTAAATTAAAGTACATAAAATTTTGATATTTTTCGTTTTTATTGTGTAAAATCATGACTAATGTGGAACAATGAAATTTCAAAAAAGAAAAAAAAGAATAAATAAATAAAAAAATAAAATAAACAGTATCTTTTATTTACAATTCTTACCCCCTCCTTCGAAGAAGAGGGGGGAATATTGTTTTGCTAATATCGGTTGGTCGGTCAATCTGTCGGTCAGTCTGTCCGTCGTTAGACTATATGGTTTCCGCTGATTATCTTAAAAACTATTTATCACAAAAAATCTTCATATTTCACATACTGAATAGTCATAACTAGTAGATGATCCCTATTGATTTTGGGATCACTAGATCAAAGGTCAAGGTTACATTGGCCTTAAATGTCAGAACGGTTTTTGCTCATAATCTTCAAAACTGTTTATCACAAAGTCTCCCTATTTATCATATTGATTAGTCATATGTTTGTAGACCACGTGATTTTTCCTGATTATCTTAAAAGCTATTTATCACAAAATCTTCATATTTCACATACTGATTGATCATAACTAGTATACCCTTATTGATTTTGGAGTTACTAGGTTAAAGGGCAAGGCCACAGGGTCGTCATTAAATGTCAGATTGGATCCCGCTCATTATACTAATGATAGCTTTCATTCAGGTTCATGTCATATATTGGTCATCATTTTTCTTTTTCCATTACTGAACACTTCCATGTACCCATTTATGACATGTTTCTATAACAAAATTGCCAATAGTACGAGGCAAGGGCTAGAAAGGGTGGCATATGTGTCGTTCGACACTTTTTGTCTCCATTTGTGTAGATAAGAAAATAGAATATTTCAAACTATCAACGTACTTTTAGGACAATGGCAATAATATGGATATCATGATCTTCAAAATGTAAAGCGAACTATACATTTCATTACATTCATTTGGCTATGAAGTTGTTTTTTTTTTTCATAACAAAATGATACAGATGAGGATGTTCCACTTCTCGAAGGGTGTTCAACATTGAATATAATTCGAGGTCAGAAGTCCACCTGTAAACTTACTATCACAAATGGAGATAGCTTCCACATTGTTTCTAAAAATATAAATGCTGAAATTAATCAAGAAGAATCAACCGTTTCCTTTCTTCCTGAATCAAATGAACCTATTTCTATCAGGTAAATGGTCTTTTCTATATATATAAAATGAATATGACAAAATGTTTCGGATGCTGTTTTGCAAACAATTTTTTTTTCTCCAGTATCATTGTTTCCAAGTTTCCAATATCTTAAGGTTAAAACTTCAAGTCATCAAATGGGAGATACTTGATATGCTTTCCATTATCTCTTAATCAAACTCAGTATATAATTTTCACCATTTTATGATTTTTGTTTCATTGCTGACGTTTTAAGAATATTTCAACAGACGGAAATATAATAAAAAATTGAATATGTAGTGTTTACTTTTACGTTTGAAATACGTGCAATGTATTACATGCTTTTCGGTGGTTTATAGAAATATATCAGTAAAATAAAAGAAATTGATAATTTCACTGTTTCAAACAATGAAATTATCAATTTGACAACTTCACTGTTTTGAATTTAAGCCCGTTACGTTATTTCAGTAAAATACCAGCATACACAGTACTGGAAACCAACTTAATGGGGTGACGTCATAAATGATGTCACGTTTTATTATCATTTTGCGCGCTTTTCATTTATTACTAGGTTAAAATGTCTTTTTTAACGTTTCTCTGCATATAATAAAAAGAAAATTTGTTTAGTTTAGTGTAAAATAATGCATAGGGACCGATTGTTTTTTGTTGTAACTTCGAACATATAAGTGACAATAATCCCTCTTACAGGATTGAAGCTATGAATAAAAACGGTAGAAGATCGCCACAATTTGCTTTAGACATTATAATGTGCACAGGATGCAGCAATCATGGGGTTTGCACGTCGTCCCTTAGAACCGATTTAAGAGAAAATGAATATTTTCGTTACCATTCTTGCAAATGTGACCTAGGATATGATGGTATATCATTAAGTTATCAATTTCCTGTAATATAAAACATCTATTATAACCATCCTAACGGGCACTAAAAGAAACTGAAAAATTGACAACATAGGTCAGATATATACCATTAAGGACACATATAAGCAAAATTTAAACAAACTTTATCGTATGGAAATCGAGTTATTGCCACTTTTCTGAATTTAATCTTGGATGTTAGAAAGGCCCTTTTTCAGAAATAAGGCACCTTTAAATAATCTACAATATCTATATCTATAAAATATGTTTCCCATTAATTCTTGGTTAGAAACACTCATCTTACAATCCACAAAAGCAAAATGAATGTTTTCCAAAAAATATGAAATATGTATAAAATGTTACCCTGCCCCACCAATTTTTAACATATGTTTGATCAATTTCCTGCTTGGAGAGCCTAATTAAAATGAGAGATACATAAATAATATTAAAATAAAAAAGTAAAGAAAAAACCCATCTGGGGCTTGAACCAACGTCCCTAAGTTTCAATGTATTTAACAGTAGTTCTAGCCTATTTAAATACTCTTTAATGCGGAGGTAATGCTTTAGGATGGTCATACCTTAATATTCAGTCCTTATCATTGATTTATAACATTATTTGTCAAATATATAGTATTGCCATTTTATTATAGAAAGAAATGTGTGTAAACATACTTTATATTTTATGCAACTTTTATATTAAAATGCACTTGAAATATATACCAATCTACGTTCAGGCATTGATTGTGAAAATTCATTTGACGGTTGTGCTGGAAGTCCATGTTCACTAGACAGAAACTGCACGAAATTACAAGCTGAAGAACAGCAAGCAATAAACAAATCGTACATATGTGACCCATGTCCTGATGGATACCTAGATGATAATGATGATTGTATCGGTAAAGTTATTAAATACTTATTGGTTCAATTCATTTGTAAAACAGCTAACCTTTCCGATGCAATAACATATTAGTATTTCAGTCATACAATAATTTAAAACATTTTAACAAATCCTAAATTCAGATCAAGACGAATGTAAAGTGAACAATGGTGGCTGCAGTCAACACTGTTCTAACACAGATGGTAGTTTTCAGTGTTCTTGTGACGACGGATACAGACTAAGCATCGATGATTTGTATACTTGTATTGGTGAGTATGTGTGTCGGATATTGTTTTTGTATTGATTACGTTTTCCGTCAAACAGACACTGTATAGATCATATGGCGATGTTCCAGCTTTCCTGGTGGAGAAATACCTCATGTGCCTTTCCGTGCATTATTTTAGGCACGAACAGGCACCTGAGTAGAACCACCGACGTTCCGTAAGCTAGCTGGATATCTTCATCACATGAAAGAACCCAAAGTCTTTGTCGGAATTTGAACTCACAGAGGTGATTGGCAAGTTTTTTGAAGTCAATGGCTTTAACCACTCGGCATCGGACGCTCCCGTGTGTTCGATATAAGATGTGAAAACGGGAATAGATATAATTTGAAAATTATCATTATTTAGTCTTAGCAAATCATCAATTTGCCAAAATTTTAAAATGTTCTAATATTTCGTATCAAACTTTTTTCAAAAGTTTCCGCAAGAACAAATCTATCAAAAAATCTTTTTCCATGAAGATGTGGAAACATTTATTACATTGTCGTACGAGGGCTGTTCGAAAAAAAAGCACATGGAATTTTAATAGCCAATTAATGTTAAAAAGCTTTGTAAATTGTGAAACCATTGAACATATATGTAACATTCTGTAAATTATTATAAAATATTAAAAATGTTAAATTTATAGCAAATAAGCCTGCATGAATTAACATACTGTGCCGGACTTGTACATCTATAGCGCATCATGCTTCATTGACACAATCACCACCGTTGTTGGCCCATTGCGTTGCCTCGACACACATCTTTTCAATGTATATTTGCATACCTGATAATCCCTGAAGCTGTATCTGTAAATTCTTTTTTGTACCTACGGATTGGCTGGAAAAACCCAAATATATCTCTATCTATATATCTATATATCTATAACTCCTTTTTAGCAGAGAAAGAGAAACAATGAGATGTTACTATAGTTACTTATTATTTGAGTGACAATCTTCCGTAAAGTAAAGAATTTCATGACCCGTGGACAGTGTATGCATACTGATCGTGACTAAATATCATAGATTAATATTCATAAATAAGGATTTTATGACAAATTACACGAACTGTCAAAATAGCCTTTGTAATGTTCTTCAGCTACAAGACAATGCAATTCTCTGGTCTCTCTAAATGGATTTAGCACCGCCCTCTATTATGCTGAATTATTAATGATACTTCAATAGTCAAAATAGTTCATTTTGTTTTACGCTAACCAATTAAATATCTGGGTAACGTCTGTGAAATAAATTCAATATCACTTACTAGTATAGTATATCCCTTATACATTGTGTGATATAGTTTTGCCGAACTGTTAGTTGTCGTGCATTGAAGTTTTATGATATCATCACGATTATAGTTTTTGAACTTTTTTTACCATTCAAATATTTTTTACTTCCATAGAATTGTTCATAGATACTAATTTTAACCACTTGTGTTTGCAAAACGCTCGCGGGCCGTTGAATGTTTGACGTTATCTTCATGTCACGTCATCTCATGTCTCTTTTCAGAGTGTCAATAGAAAACTATTGTTTAATATTTTATTAAGTCATAAAAGAAAAAAAGAAATTTTGTTTGTATAGTGTCGCAAATAAGATATACACTATTCGCTGAAGTGAGGAAGTATCAACCTTACAAAGCAAGCTAGTGTCAAGTGCTGTTTGGCAGCTGTAAAACGTTACCCCGTACTTCACTTCAGTGTTGTTATATTTTTCTGGTCCTTCGGGATCATTGATACCAGCACTATTAAGTGTTGAGAATTGAGTACCGCTCAAGCCGGTGCTAGGGGGCATGAGGGATGTTGCACTTATTCAGTATTCCTCATGTACAGACTCAATCAAACCGAGTCTGCAATTCTTGTGTAATTTTGTTGTGATTAATGCTTCCGAGGGATCTCTTTCTTTCCAGATTTTTATACTTCAAAACAGCAGGTGTCAAGTGCTGTTTGGCAGCTGTAAAACGATACCCCGTACTTCACTTCAGTGTTGTTATATTTTTCTGGTCCTTCGGGATCATTGATACCAGCACTATTAATTGTTGAGAATTGAGTACCGCTCAAGCCGGTGCTAGAGGGCGTGAGGGATGTTGCACTTATTCAGTATTCCTCATGTACAGACTCAATCAAACCGAGTCTGCAATTCTTATGTTATTTTGTTGTGATTAGGGTTCCGAGGGATCACTTTCTTTCCAGATTTTTTTCTTAGTAAGATATGTAGTCCATTCACTCTTAACAAACAAATATCATTTATATATTATTTAAAGGCAGTTTTTACTAGTTTTTATTTAAAGTATTGGTGGAAATGTAAAAGAATATATTTCTGTTTATAGCGATAATGATCCAATGTCGATTTGAATTATGAACAGCTCTAAACCATATTTATTGCAGATATTGACGAATGTGAAGAGTTATTGCACAATTGTTCTCATCTGTGCACAAATACGGAAGGTGGATTCACTTGTCAGTGTTTTTCTGGTTATGCATTAAATCGGACTTCGTGTGTACAGATATTCGGTAAAAAATTTGCATGTGTTTAACATGGCAGGAAATTTATGTACATAAGTATGATAAGAATAAGTAAAAATTGATCGAAGTCTTTGTTCCTTTGCCGAAAATGAAAGTGTTACATTCTAATTCAAATGTAGTCTAACAAAAAAAATCTTAAGCTGTATATATAAATGATATACATGTATATATTTAAGTGCTTCATATGTGTCTTTTATTATGTAATTTCTTCTTTTTCCCAAGATGGTATTTGCAGTGTAACAAAACAGAATGACTGCAGATCCGCTGACGGATGCACTGTAAATGGTGAGGTTGAGGAATGTTTTTGTGTGAATGGATACGAATTAGATGAAACAGGAACTAAATGCCTTGGTATTTTTAATTTTATATCATGCATGTTTTCAGGATATAATTTTCCCAACAATGAAATGATTATAAAACAACTTATGTACTCAATTCTACAACCTTCAACAATATGATTTGTCACCCAAATTTGTTGAAGTAGTAGAGTTTAAATAATGTTGCCATGTTCTATTTGTTTTTTCTATATAATTTTGTTCAAAGTAGTAGGGTTCAAATTATGTCTCCATGCTATATTTCCGTTGTGGGTTCCGATCTCGACAGGGACTTTTGATTATTTTGTGTGACGAAGCTATCCAAGTAGCTTACGGAACGTCGTTGGTTCTTCTCAGGTGCCCGTGCGTGCCTAAAATAATGCACGAAAGGGCACCTTAGGTCTTCCTCAACCACTTAAGCTGGAACGTCGCTATATGCCCTATACTGTGTCGGTGTAACGTGAAACCCAATCAAACAAACAAACAAACTTGAAAGAGAAATTAATTATTCATGCTGTTTTTGTTTTAAATGTATGAATATTCTGAAAGTAGTACGGCATAAAATATGTCTCGATACTCTATGTGTTTTAACTTTATGATTTTGTTGAAAATAGAAGATTATTAATTAGTCTTGATGCTTTATTTGTTTTAACTTCATGATTTTGTTGAAAGTAGAAGGGTACAAATTATGCCTCGATGTTGAAATTGTTTTAACTTAACGATTTTGTTGAAAGTAGTAGGGTACATCGATATTGTATTTGATTTAATTTTATGATTTTGTTGAAAATAGAAGGGTATAGATTTATATCTCGATGATGTATGTGTTTAAATTTTATGATTTATGATTGAAAGTAGTAGGGTATAAATTATGTGTCTAGGCTTAATTGTTTGAACTATATTCTGCAAATATCGCTTTTACGTTGTAAAATGATTAGGAGTTTCTGCTTTTTAACTGCGTTCTTTACTTGATATGAATAATATATTATGTCACATGCATTTGCGATTTCCGAGGTGTGCTAAGAATAAGTTGAAAATAAAAGCTTGTCACAATTTGAAATAAAAAATATGCTAACAAGAAATGATGATAAATAAATGATTTATCATTTATGGAAGAACATATGAAGTCTATAGAAAGTGAGAAGTTGCAATAGTCAATAATAGTATATACATTTCGAAGACTTTCTGGCCACCTACTGTTTATTTTATCATAGCAATAGTTGTCAGACAAAACATATGTAAAATCATGTATGCGTTTAAAGTTACACATTGTTTGTTTTTAAAACACTTCAATGAAACTAATTCATAAGAACAGAGAATAAAACAATACAGCATAATGAAATATGTCGTGATTTGATTTTGTATCTACACTTTATATTCGCTCCTACAGAATCATTTATGTAATACGCTCCTGGCAAAGGCATCATATATCGAAAGCATTTGTTTTATACATATTTATTTTTTAGATATTGTTTTTTTCCTGGTGGTCTGAAAGTTAATGTCAAATACGAATCATGATTAAAAATTAACAGGACTTGATAGATGATTCATTCCTCTGTAAAATGCAGTAATTTGAAAATACGCAGAACATACACATAAATGGTAAAAGAAATCAACAAAATCATTAATAAAAAAAAATTCTTACAACAGTATCTCCTTAGAATTTTACTTTTTAAGAGGCCTTGATACTTTCCTTCGCCGAACGTCTTTGTATCTTTCCATTCCAAAATCCTGGTTACTTTAGGGTAGGCATAGTTAAAAATTCTTTAGAAAACCCTCAAAGTCCTCGTTTCTTTCCTAGGTCTTCGTTCCAAAGTCTTCGTTACATCAAAGGTCCATGTTAAGTTCCTCAGCCAGAAGTGCTTATTTCTTTTTTCAGCAATAAGGTTTTATGACTTTTCTTAGCTTAACGTCTTTCTAACTTTCATAACTTGTCATAACTCTTTCGTCAGGCAAATGTCCTTCAAGACAAATTTAACAAACAAACGAACACCAGAATGCTTTGTTTGTAAAAAGGTTAGACTTGAATACAAATTAGTTTTCTGTCATATAGATTCACACTACACACGTACAATACTTTTATTCTTAATTTTTATCTTTTTTGTTAAAGGATTAATATTAAATTTGATAGACAAACTATTTATTTATTCATTCATTCGATAATCAGCCTCTCTATCTATAGATTTTAAGCCATACTAATATTTTCTTATCTGGAGATGCTTTATTTGATTTTACCATCAGATATCAATGAATGCGGAAGACACATTTGTTCGCAAGGATGTTTAAATACACATGGAAGTTATGAGTGTTATTGCTTCGCTGGTTATCGCTTAGAGGATACATCGACATGCAAAGGTACCATCACGTTTATCGGTTACGTTAAAAAATATATCTTCTTATAGCAAAATTGCTATTTTAAGACTGGTGTTGATTACAAGTTTAAAAGGAAATAGAAATATGTATTTTATTAAAAAGTCTATTAAAAATTCTTATCAGGCAATAAAATTATTTTTTAGGAACTGCATTTCTTGTCAATTATATAGACAGCATCAGGGATTGCTTTATAGTCAGCCAATTCAGATGTAAATAAAGTCAAATTTAAGAATAAACTTATCTAAAAAGTAAATTTACGAGGCCTTATCATTGTTTTGCAATGTCATTCTTTTTTAAATATACAATTTTATTTAAAAGATGGTATTTATGTTATAGTAAAGTCTATGTAATAAATATAATTTGATTTATGTGAATATTTAAGAATGTGAAAACACATTTTGGGGAAATGATTGTGAACAAGAGTGCGTTTGTTCTGGTCGAGGTGCTGACAAATGTCATCCAGTTAAAGGTTGTATTTGTGAATCCGGTTGGTTTGGCGAGAGCTGTAACGAAGATATTAACGAGTGTGAGTTTGACATCCCCCCATGTAGCAATCCTAGAACAGAATGTGTCAACACTTTAGGATCATATAGCTGTAAATGCCGAGTTGGATTTTCTCTATCAAACAAAGGATTATGTACAGGTATAAAATGATATCAACAAGAAGTTAAAAAAGCGGTAAATTCTATTCCCAAAAATATCAAAATACACATGTCTTAAGAAATAAATCAAATATAACATTTGAAATGTTGAGCTTTTATTTCATAATTAGAAGTAAGCAGAGTTTGCATTTTTATCCAGAGGTGAATATTTTTGATACATCTCAATGCATCATTTTAAATTGCCTTTTTAAAATAAAATACATGTGATTAAATGCAATAGTGCCAATTACGTCGTTACAATAAATAGGGAAACCTCAACAAGTGAAGCTGTAAGATAATTAGCATTTAGCCGCCATTTTTGGTTGAGTATTCTTAAGTATTTACCAATTTTCTATGAACATGTATGGTTTTACAGATATTGACGAATGTAAAGAGCCACATTTAAACAATTGTACACAAGAATGCAAAAATACAATAGGTAGCTTCTCTTGTAAATGTAAAAACGGATTCACAAGAAAAGATCAAACATCTTGCGACGGTAAGTTAAGAAAGTTTAAACATCAATGTTCAATGAAATTGTTTTGTTTTGCTGGTACATTATATATATACTATTATTACCCTTCCAGATTTTTTCCGCCTTTTTGATTGGATATTGATCACCCGAAAGAAATTGATATAACCGAGCCAGACGGGTAATATACACACTAAATTTCCCCGTTGGGTACCCAACGTTGTAAACGACATGCGCTGAGGTGATGCGCGTACGGTTCGATTTTACGCGGTGTAAATTCCGATTTACAAGCACTTTTTAACTGTCAAATGATAAATATTTACCAAAGTAGAGTAATAATACAAATTCCCATCAGTATTGAAAACAAATTTGACCTTGTGAAAGCTTGATATTAATTACAAAAAAGTGCTTTCAATAGAGTACTCCTTTTCTCTTGTTTACATTCGTTAGGCACGGGAAAAATACGTCATGCATTTATGTGACGTCATGTTGTGATGAAGAGGTACCCTAAAGGGAATCTTATTTCGCCGTTTCTTTTGAAACAGCAATGATTTAAAAAAAATCGTCTAAACTTGGCAGGGGAAGGGTAATAAAATTATGATTTTGGTTTTGGAGTGATATATGTAGATATATTACCTGCCAAGATAAAATATCACCCTCGCCTAACGGCTCGGGTGATATAAAATCTTAGCAGGTAATATATCCACATATATCACTCCAAAACCAAAATAACATATAATTTATCTAATTATAATAATTTGTGATTTTAAAATACAGGAGACGACCATACTATAATCAACTGAATAAGCCGATCTCTATATCTATGTATAGTTTTACAACGAATTTGATTTTTTTGTGTCTCTAGATATAAACGAATGTGCACTTGGAATCTCTGATTGTGAACAAAAATGTGTGAATAATAGAGGACAATATAGTTGTTATTGTCACTATGGGTATACTCTAAATGATGATCGCCGGACATGCTCTAAAAGTAAGTGTCGTTATTTACTATTTAACAGAAATTGTGATATTTAGATTTTAAAATACAATGTAAACACACAAAAAATGCAAATAACCAATATTCAATGTCGATTTAATACACACCAAATTAATCAATGTAATTTGTATCTAGTTAAACACCGTAGTGTTGTTTTAATTTGTTTTCTTTTGTCTACTAGTTGAGGACCCCTGTTTGACGATCAACAATCTAACATGTTCTCATTTTTGTGAACTGGCAGACCATAATGCTGTGTGTGGCTGTCAAAATGGATTTATAATACAGAACGACAATCAGACGTGTACAGGTAAAGAAAACATCAGTATTATTAGATATTTTAAATAATTCGTTACAAATTAAATTTTGTTTGACAGTTTTAAGTAATCACAACAATTTTTAATCTTTAAGGTGTAAAATTCAACATGTAAATGAACGGATTTACAAGTCTTGAAATCTATCATTTTCATTCCCTTATTCACTTTTATACTCGCACCCTTACCCTGACCTTACGTTATTAAACAAAGATTGTTTCGTTAAGATCATGACAAAGTTACGTATACATTGCAGGTTTTTCAGACAGTTTAATATGGTAATAATCGTCAATATCACACTTATAAGAAAAATTTTCAACAATGTACAAATCTAATTGTAATAATTATTTTAGAATGATAGTAACTATAAAAATCGCATTTGTACATTGATGTAAATAGAGTCTATATTTATTTAACTATAGAATAGGTTTAATTATGATCGGGATCATGTATATCATTTATCTACATTTTAATCAGAAAAATTATGTCCATATATGAGGTTATCGGAAGAATAAAAATTGCATTATGATTATCATTATTATTGTACAAGAGTCGAACAAACGCACGATTAAAGTCGGATTTATTGTAATTACAACTTTTTCTACTGTTATCGTACAATACAATGCAAAAATGTTAACGTTATAATCTATTTAAACGTATTAACAATAAAAACTTCTTTTATGTCTGTAGATGTAAACGAATGTAAAAACACCGAGAAAAATGAATGTGAAGACAATTCAACATGTTTTAATACGGAGGGATCTTACATGTGCAATTGTCCAATTGGGAAACGATTAGAGAATGATGGCCGAACATGTACAGGTATAACAATTTAGTAAGCAAATATATAAATTTATGTTTATAGCTGATGATTTTTCAGTTATATGGGTATAACACATGTTTTAACATTCTGTTTTTATACATCTTCCCCCAGTAAAGTGAGTTTTTTTGTGTTATAATTTTTTATTGTAGATTGCGATCAATATCACTATGGACGAAACTGTGCCCACAACTGTAGTTGTTTAAAGGGAATATGCGACAAGAAAACAGGTAGCATTTATATTATTTCAAATGTTATTCTGTTTTTAAATCCACTAATTTCGTGTTGTTTCAAAAGCAAATCATTGCACTTCTCGATGATAGAATTTATATATTTTCTTTAAATATACCAATAATTAGCAGTAAATTCGATTAATTAAGTTATGAACTTTAATATATAGATTGTTCTTGTAATTGTACTATGTTAAAACAACTTTGTTGAAATCTTTTGCAAAATATTAAACACTTTTTAAGATACTATCATAATGTGTAAAATGTCTTTTTAGGCTGTATTTGTGACCCAGGTTGGGCTGGTGATCGGTGTGAAACTGATATTGATGAATGTTTTACTGGACAAGTAACTTGTCAAGTTCTACATTCTACTTGTTTTAATTTGCCTGGTACCGCTTTTTGTTTGTGTGATGTGGGCTATCAAAATATTTCTGGAGTTTGCGAAGGTACTTAAAACATGTTTACAATTAAATATGATTTTAACTTTTTTACCATTATCATATGTTTAAATGTTTACAACTAAACTAATTAACAATTTTTATCCTAAACCAAGTTTAAATAATAGAACAATTATAATATTATTCACTTCATCATCTTGCTAAAATCACAATTCATATTACAGATATACACCTGTATATGTTATATGTTATATACGTTGTGATATTTCAGACGATATACAGATTTGTATTATTTTTTAATTTTAAGCGCGTTATTGTTTTTGATCTTGTTAAAATTTTCTAGATATCAATGAGTGCTCAGACGATTCATTAAATGATTGCGATCAACTCTGTACTAATACAGAAGGAAGCTATTCGTGTTCTTGTCAACGGGGATTTGCTTTTGATGACGCATCGTGCAAAGGTAGTATCTTATCAAATAATTTTATATTGACGAGTCGTGCCTTTGATATACAATCAATTTATTTCTCAAATTTACGTGAACTTTTGCAGACAGAATTAGTAAAAAGTTTATTTTATTTTTAGATACTGATGAATGTGCTGGTAGCGATGATTGTGACCAGGGCTGTACAAATACAATAGGAAGTTACAGATGCTTTTGCAAAGAAGGCTTTAGCCTTGATTTGACAAATAGAGAGTCATGCATAGGCATTTACATTCTATTCTATAGATAGCTATGAAACTATGTATATTTTTCTCAGTGATGCCCTGCTTCATTTGGTCTCTGATTACAATTGTTTCCCCAGAACACACTTATTTTTGTCTGTTGTTTAACATGCCTTTTAAGTTAAATAACATAGAATTAAAAACATGAGTGAAATGCCTGTATTTATCTAGGCTTGATATAGATATTCCCGGCTTCAAAGAAACAATGGTTCAATTACTAACTGCGTGGCGTTGTTTTCTTTTTTTATCATATTTAATGAGATTTACTTGATAAGTATTACTTTGCTTATAATTCAACTTAACCTAATGACACATTTCATGGTAATAAAATCTTAATTTTAGCCCTGCAAGAATGTAACGAAAAACTGAACAGCACATGTCCAAAAGATTCCGTATGTTTTGTAAAGGACGATGAAGTACATTGTCGATGTTTGAAAGGATTTAAGGAAATAGACAATACATGTACAGGTATAATTGTATCGGAAATGTAAATAATTTCTTTATGAATAATCATTAGAGTAAGCATACCTTTATGAAATATCTTTAAAATGCTATGCTTCCCTTGAATTAACAAAGTTTATCTCGTTAAACACAATTTTCATGACACTTGTATTTTAAATGATAAAAACCTTAAATATGGTGCCTATATACATGTTTCCCTCTCAAAAACAAATATGTCTATATATCAGCTATATTCATAGATATTGACGAGTGTCAAGAGTACAACCCATGTTCTCATAAATGTCTGAACACACTTGGAAGATATAACTGCAGCTGTAATGACGGATTTATCCTTCGACCGGACAAACGCACGTGCAAAGGTACCATGAAAGCATATCATCTCTTCCTTCATACACGAATTCTACATCAAAGATAATTAATTTTACTGTCTAAACTAAGCAGTAGGTCTAAACAAGAAATACAAGCCATGAAGTTAGTCTAGAAATTTTCATTGATTGCATGAGTCTATACCTTATTGTTTTTGTTTTATTTCTCATTTCACAACTTTATGTTGCCATGCGTTTGAAATGTTTTGTGTGTCAAAATGTTGAATAGAATTTAATTGCAATTATATATATGGCAAATTAGAACATATGATAACTTAATTAAATGTAATAATAACAAAGCATTCGTTACACTCTGCAGCAGTAATAAAAACCGTTTGTGAAACGTTATAAAACTACAGTGAAAATGTATGTTTTTATTTCGTTTTGAATGTAATAACTGCACGATCTGTGTACAAAGTTATTGTTGCCAATTTTCAGGGACTGGACACACATGTGTTATCACATCTCATCTGACATAGAAACAAAGTACAATAATCTAAAATTATATTTCAATAAAATCGCCATAAATATAAAATAACAGCGGTTCATATTATTTTTTACAAGTTTCATTTTTTCGAATAGACATAAAATGACATTATTTCTGAATTCTATAATTTAAGCATGTGATAATTGGCAGTATGGACATGAATGTGGCAAACCTTGTTCCTGTAACAAAAGTTTTACTGAATCATGTAATGGTGAAACTGGAGAATGTAGATGTAGATCAGGAATGATTGGGAGTACTTGTGATATTGACGTCGATGAATGTTCTAAATTTATTTGTCCCAATAATTCTTATTGTGTGAACACACTTGGCAGCTTCACTTGCAAGTGTCATGAAGGCTACTTTAAAACTGGAATCAACTCTTGTGACGGTAATTTGAATTTTATTTTATTTTGCACGTTCTTTATTTTCAAAATAGCCTAGAATAATTTGAAATGAAAAATAACACAATTTTGCTATCTACAATATGTTCATATTTTGGCAAGTAAAAATAAAATCAAAATGGGAAGACTCATATACACATGTTGAAATGATTTATATATTCATTAAGGACGGTTTTATATAACATATGTTATATAAGTTATATTTTATATATCATTTAGAATGTGATTTCCGGCATTTTGGGAAACATTGCCTCAATGACTGCCAGTGTAAGTTCGAGAATACAAAAGACTGTAATCACGTGACTGGTGCGTGTACCTGTACACAGGTAAAATATTAAATTAGTTTTGTTTTGACTGAGAATTGACATTTATCGTACTTTGGTCCATTTATAAGTGTTTTATATTATATTGGTAGTGATAGTGTTTTGATTCTTTTGTGAATTAATTACAGGAATGGGAAGGTGATACTTGTATGGATGACCTCAACGAATGCCTCAACAACACAAATGTTTGTATGAATAAAGAGTGGTCCACGTGTAAAAATAAAAATGGGTCATTTACCTGTGACTGCAATATCGGTTTTATGGAATATGATAATAGATGTCAAGGTAATGTATGTTTGAATTTTACCAAAATGTGAAAAAATATCTACATATCAGATCTTATCAATCATCATTATTTTTATAAGAATGCAGATTCCTAAAAATACTTTATTCAAATATCATTCAGTTCATATTGATTGATTGAAAGTATAGAATTGCTTATACACTTCGTTAAAGAGAGCAAGTTGTAAAATGACAATATTTGTGTTTAGATGGTTTTACTAAAGAGTTCCAATCTCAAATCAGTATGTTTTTTCCACACATCATCGTTTGTGTGTAAAATATAATGTCTTTTGATTAAAAACATGATTGAAATATGTACGATGAAGATATAGAGGATATTTGTTTAGTTCAGTGTAAGATCGGAATATATTTCACCGAGTGAGCACCAAAAGGTATATTTCACGAGTGGCGCAGCCACGAGTGAAATATGAACTTTTGGTGTTCACAAGGTGAAATATATTTCGATCTTACACTAAACTAAACAAATTTTCTTTTTATTATATGCAAATAAAAGTTTTAAAAAGACATGAAACCTAATACTGAATGAAAAGCGCGCCAAATAATAATACAACGTGACGTCATTTACGACGTCACGTCGTTAAGTTGGTACCCAGTTCTGTGCACGCTGGTTTAACTGAAACAACGTAAGGGGCTTAAATTCAAAACAGTGAAATTATCAAAGTGGTAATTTCACTGTTTCAAACAGTGAAATTACCAGTTTTATATCACTGATATATTTCTATAAACCACCGAAAAGCATGTAATAAAAGTATTTATTTATTTTGAATGACTGGTGCATTTACCTTATCTCAGACAGTTAATTACTTTTCAAAGGTTAATTTAATTCCATTGTAATATATTAAGTGTACACGATTATTATTTTTATAGTGTTTTTGAACAAACATGTAAATCCTGTAAATTTGCACATTTCTGTTATTATGAATACTCGTTGCAACGACCAGTTCAAACAACTGGAATAACAGAAGTAAACATTGAAAAAAAAATCTTTTTTTTTGTTGTTAACATACATATGAAAATATCATAAATTTGTGTTTCAGATGTAAATGAATGTAGGAATAACCAGAATATATGTAATAAAAATACAGTGTGTGTCAACACATTCGGATCTTACGTTTGTGACTGTAAACGGGGTTTTGTAATGTCATCGATGGGAGAATGCATTGAAGGTAATTGCCTTGCATTATTTTGTCAAGTTCATGCTTGTGGTATTTGAAAAAGGTAGACAAGTTTTAGTTATATCATGTATTTTCAGTATTGTATGATAAACTACAAGCACAATTATATGTGTATGTGGTATATAACGTATGCTTAATCAATATAAAAATGTTTTTTTGTTTTCAGACAAAACTGAAGGAATCAAGAAGCCAGGTATGTTTTGAATAACAAAAAACTATCATTGAATTTTACGAAAATTATTGTATGCTTGCTTTATTTCACTGTCTTATTCTGTAGAAAACATATTGACTATAATCGTTGTTGATTTATTGTCTTTCTTTTACAAGCATACGGGTTTCAATAAACTAAATCATTTTACGTTTATCTAAAATTTGTTTTATCTTTGTTAACTGATTTTGTAACGTGCATCAAACAAATCGTTGAACGTGTATCTTTATTGATTATGAAAACGAAGACTCTGGAATATGGATAGAAGCAGTTGCAGTTATTGAAATGGAACTTCCAGAAGAAACCAATCTCAATGCAGCAAGCATATATCTAAACATTCAAATGAAGCTAATAGATATGGTAAACAAATACATATGTATTATTCTTAACTTTCAAGATTTATGACACTAGGTAAAACACAAACCTTATGTCAAGATTTATACAGTTTTATTTGAATTTTTAGACAATGGTTTATTTCTTAAGATTACAAAGATATGTCCATTTTAAAAAACTGAAAATGTACTTGTAATAACAATTAGATAATGTATAAAAAACAAGAAACGCTGATGTAGCTACGTGTATTTTTTATTTGTCTCACGATGTTTAATGAAATGCTTTACTATTTATTTCAAAAGCAATCATTAATTATATTTCAGCTACGTATATACTTTAAGAAGTTTACCGAATCTGTATTGCATTTAACAATTAACGATATAAAGTAAGTATTAAGTTACCTAAAATTACACTCAACATATACATTGTGAACGTATAATTATTTACCGGTATTTGAATAAAATTGAGATTCTTTAACAGAAACCCTAACTGGATTAACGATCCCGAGGCATGCTATTCGAAACAGTTAAAGTTAATGTGAGATAAAGGTGTTTAAAAAAATATACAAAATTTCAAAAGAGTAACGCGCTCGATTTATAATACATTTGTATTTTTGTGCTTAGTGAAGATGTTAAATGGAGGGCCAGCGACGCTTTCATTACGCTTACAGAGTCAGGGTGCTTTTGAAACTGCTCGGTGACTATACGTTTATAGGACACTTTTCATGAATAGTATGTAATAGCAACATTACGCATTAGTGCCATGTATGAAACCAAAATGATGTGCTGAAGATTCCATAAAGCACACTATGCGAAAAAAATCTTTTTGAATCGGTCGGAATCGCCTATGTGTAAATCGCCTATAGCTTGTTTTTGAACACAATAATTTCCGAGAAAGATCTAAGAAACTTGGCTGCGGTTCAACGATTGGTAATATCCATTGGGTCCATAGAACCTAAAATAACTCACACAGGAATAACGTCTGATTAATCAGGCTTTTTCATTACGCTTAAACCACCTTAACGCACACCTCACTCAAGCTATTAGTTTACAGCCGTATTCAGTATGGTGGCACCTTTAATATATTTTGATAAATAGATGTACTTTTTGAATATACTGTCCGGTGACATTTAATATTTCTGCAGTTTTAATTAACTATTAGAAATTACATTATTATTTTTCTTATTAAATTAATTAACTTATTCAGGAAAGGAAGTCTTATAACCAATTTTACCGCTACCTATGATACAGCTGAAAATAACTTCACATCACAACTAGTAGCCGGGATCTTACAACTTGGAAATGGAGCCCAACTTTTGTATGATGGACAATTGGTCAACGTATCATCAGGTTATTACAACTTTACCTCATAATTTGGTATTTAACTTAATTTTCTTTAAATTTGGATTAGGTCACCAATAACAATGTAATACAAATGTTTAGAATCACAATTTAAGAAAGTATTTTTTGTCTTGAATCTAAAGGTCCATGTATATCTTTTATCTTAGATACCTTTGACGGTCAGCTACCATGTATGATCTTTAATGTAATTGGTGGAAGCTGTGGAGATGGGTATGCATGTATATTAGAGGATGGGATTCCAGTTTGCAGGCAAGTCTTATCTGAAAGAATGATTATGATTAAAAATTTACATAAATATATTTACTTAATATAACTTAATAGTTCCTATCAACGAGTTTGAGGAGTAAATAAATATGCTAAAATCTTAACTATTAATATTCATTTGACAATGTCAGTCAATTTTGTTTGTTATGTTTATTCTAAATTGTGTACGTTGTAAATTGAGCTTCGTTTGTTTAATAATAAATAACATGTGTATTTTTTATATTTATGACTTTAATATTAAACAAACTGACTAAATACTTACCGCCATTATTGCTGTATGGGCTTTGTTGTCAACCAAATAGTTTATTATATTACTTATTCAACATCCATTTAAATACTATTAGATAAATTATGATTTTCTTTCTTTTTTAGTGATTATTGCAATATACAGATTGATACAATTATATCAAATCTGACAATATTAAATTGTGATAATCTTTTATCAATATCTATTTCAATTTGTTTAATTATATGATTATTTCAATAGTTTCTCAGGACAATCTTCTTCATGCAGTTTTGTATCATTGCCTATTGAAGCATTAGATATGAAAGCATGCTGACAAATTATTTTTGTGCCATTACAGCTTTCAAAATGAGCAACAAGATGGTGAGTTGAAAAAGACGCACACATAATTAGGTGTTGTTTATCAATTATGAAAAAAACACAATATATTGAATTCAATGGGATAAGAAGAAGCATTTAAGCTGATATTGTTTGATTATCTCTGAATTTGATCAAACATTAAAATAGGAAATTAAAATTTTAAATGAATATTGTCTGCAGTTTAGTATAC